CTCATTATCCTTTCATCTGTCTCTGTAGAAAAGATGTTAGATCGAGTCTTAGAAAACATCTCTGACTTTCAAGTCTGCTGCTGTGGCCCACGCTACTATTTCTGTCTGTCTGGTACCCACTCAGGAGAGAAAAGAGAGTATCAGTTTGCCAATTATAATGAAGTCAATTATAAGATTTTAATTTTATGCTATCTTTTTTCCTTTTCTAAGTGGTTTGGAGGCCAAATTTATAGACTTCTAGAATTGCTTTCAGGGGACAATTTTCAAATCCTTGTGAAGAAAAGATAGTTCAGGTCTTGTTTCTTCTTCTTCTTCTTCGTCCTCATTTAGGTGAGGGGACTGGATAGGGAATAGGAAAAGGTGACCTCAGCACACAAAACTCCAGACGTTCTTCTTTGGGAATATCTTCATAAAAACAAATGGCGATGAAAGCCCCTTTCTGACAGCCCCCAGGAAAATATGCGTCTGCATATGGAAACCGTCAATCTAGTGATTAACCTGCATTAGTTTAGCAATACAGCGCTTCCTGTCCTTAATTTCAATCACCAACAGCTTTTTTTTTTTTTTTTCTCTCTAGAGGAAAGAATAAGAAAACCCCAAGATGTCCAATATATCTCCAGATATAGCCCTCGGCGCCTGCGGGGAGGTGATCCTCGCTGATAAAGTGAAATATCACTCCGGAAAATAGAAAGTTACAAAACAAGAGAGATACATAACGAGAGGCCATCGGGGAGGTAGGAAGGCAGTTTCCCACAAAAAGAGCCCATGGTTTAAGATCGTGAAGGTTGCGTTTTGTTTGGCTTCCTTTAAGGTCAGTAACTGAACAAGGAAGAGTTTGTTAAATAGACTCAGTTGTATACATTTTGAAGTGTCTTCTCTGTGCCAGTTGTCAAGCTGAGTGCCTTCTTGACTACTGCCGTGTCCACTGTGGCACCCTGAGTGTGCCCTGCGCACTGTGGGGGCAGCACGTGAACGGCCAGACCCCGTGCTGTCCTTTGCCTGCATGACTGGGCGATGCAATGGTGAAACCCTTGAGAAAGCAAATCCAGATCGAGGGAACACAAACAATATGAACAGTGAGCTCTTTGAAAAGAAAACTGCTTCCCTATGGCAGAAAGTAAGGGGGAAGGGGCCCATGCAGGGAGCCCAGCAAGCAGGGAAGGTGGGCCCTGGGGAGTGTGATATTACACAGGAACATAATGGGGTTGACTGCATACTTGTCTAATTACTGAAGCTATTAAAATCTCTATAATTTAGATTCAGGCAAAAAAAAAAAAAAAGGCTCCTATGCACACACATGCTCCTGATTGGATTTTATGAATCCGCTCCTTTTGATTCTAGAAGGACACCACCCTGCTGCGTGCATGTGGCTGCTGAACCTGCGTGACCTTCTCCCCCGGCCCTGCCCCTGCCCCCGACCAGTATGCTCTGTTACTGTAATAAGCGGTTCGGTTAGATAAGGCGGCGGGTGATGGCATCATCTGTGTTGAAGCCGAATTATAATGCCTCGGTCAACGGATTTAATCTAAACCAAATGCTTTGGGATTCTGAAAGCTCTGGGAACAGAGAAAATATAAGTTTTATATTTTCCCAAGTTCAAACAGAGAGCAGATAGAGAGATTCCAGAAGCTCAGAGAGTGGCAGCAAGAGAAAAAAAAAAATGTTGTTTCTCCCAAGTTCAATCAAAGGAACAAGTAGGCTATTCTTTGCACTCATCTTTTCCTCTTTCCCTCCTCTTCTGTGCCCTTCCTTTTCTCTTCACACAAAGAAGGGTTATCTAATGTCAAACAGAACTGATCAAACAAGTACTTAGCCCATAGAAGGTGCGCAATAAATAAATACTCCTCGCATGAACAAATGAGTGCGGGCTGTAGTGCCCATGCTCTCAGCATCAGGCTTAATAACACGTGTGAGGACTAAACAGGTTCATGAATGAAAAAACTAACAAGGTGCTGGATATGTAGCAGGCAGTTTCCTAGTTTAGCATTCCTTGCCTCTATCACCTGCGCTCCTACCTCTTCTGATGACCCTGGGGGTATCAGTGGAGGTGGTGGCAGTCATGGTTAGTTAAAGTGACATTCTCCTGGGGCCCCAAGAGAGGAAAATACAGATTCAATAACGTTTCTGAGGTCATCTCAAAATTTGTTGTACTCTGCCTTTGTCAGAATCCAGTGTATCTAAAACTTGAGAGTCTTCTGATGAATCAGCTATTATCAGTCACAAGGCAGCTCTGAGATGTCATAGATTGTATGCATGAATGAAAGAAAGCTCAATATTTTGATGCATTAAGGCCTAGGGTGTGATGGTTCCTCTAATTTTAATATAGCATTAAAATTCTATAACATAAAATATCTTATTTTGAATTCGAAGTCTATGATCTCTTTCTTCCCCTTGTAATAATACAATGGTGCATACTTCTTTTATATACACTGTATGCCTAATTTTGGAGACTACTCAATTATTGTTATCGTCTTTTCACAGATGAGAAAATAGATGTTCCATGGGTCATCAGAAACCCAGCCAGGGCTGAACCTCAGCTCTGATATTTTACAAACATTTAATGAGCACCTACTGTGTTCCAGGTATGTGCTGTGTTCCGGGAACAAAGCAGAGACAGATTGAGCAGCCTTGGAGGGTGACTTTGACCTCCAGCTGAGTCTCCTTCCTAATATTAGCACTCTAGCCAAGGACAGTGACATTAAATTATAATCCAATATATCTATATATAAAATAGAGAAATATGCTAATTAGCCAGGATGCCATAACGGGCAGACCGGACAGGGGGAGGTTGGGCATGCAGCGTCGGGGGTGGGGCAGCAGGGGCCTCCGAGCGATTGCACTGGGGAAGGGCCTGACCAGCAGCGGCTGCTGGCTGCTTCAAGGGCCGGAGAGGGAGGCAGAGCCAGACTGCGAGGCAGGACCGGACTGGCGACTCAAGGGTGGGCGGCAGCGTGCGATTTTGAATCACGCACTGGGCTCCTAGTTTTCCATATAAAAACTTAACAGTTTGAAGGAGGTTTCAAAACAGTACCTTAAAGGGAGTTATAAAAGCATTTTAACATGATTTCTGACGGGTAGTACAGTAAGCTTTGACTAAATTAACTGAAGTACAGTTGTAACATGACTTGCAATAAAATGATCAGCAAGTTACCGAAACGTGTGGAAACATCGCCACCTTATATAAAAGGTAAGTGCACTAAAGTAGCAGTGGAGACAGCAGGGGCTTCCAAGCCAACAGTTTTTCTAGGGCCAGTAGCACTGACTCCCAGGCACCCTTGTCGTCGGCCACTCGGCTGAACTGCCCAGCTGCCGCTCCCCAATTATCCTCCTGATAGACAGCAGGGAAACAATACGTATTCCCTTCTGCCTGTAAGAGTAGCAAGTAAAACAGCTTTGTGATGGTAAGAAATGTCAGCTTCATTAGCTTTTCTCTCCCACGTAGTAAGTGCTTTCTCCAAGGAATGCCCAAAGTTCACACCACTGTGTGAAGAAGTTTATATTTCCTTCTCTTTTCTCACTTAAGATTCATAGATGCAAAAGTCACACTCGAGGATGATAAGAAATCATCATGGTTTATTGTTTTTTAATGTAACGACATAACATATTACCACAGTGAAAGTTAGAATCTGTTTCATTGGACATGTACTTTGAACTCTCCCATTGAAAAGTACAGATCCTATGTCCCCCAAACCTTAAAGATTATGGAACTCAGAAATATCTTCTCTTATACCAGGAGTTCTTTTTTTTTTTTTTAAGAACTTTAAAAAAAATTATTTTTATTGATTTCAGAGAGGAAGGGAGGGAGAAAGATAGAAACATCAATGATGAGAGAGAATCATTGATTGGCTGCCTCTTGCACACACACCCTTGCCCTCACTTGGGGGGACCAAGCCCACAACCCAGGCATGTGCCCTTGACCGTAATCGAACCTGGGACCCTTCAGTCCACAGTCCAACGCTCTATCCACCAAGCCAAACCAGCTAGGGCACCAGGAGTTTTTTACTTGGAGTTTGCAGATGTTTTTCAGGTAGACCTGTGAGCCTCATGCATGGTATGAAAGAAACATTTTTTTGTAGGTCCATTTTGTAAGTTTATGGCCTTTCAAAAGATTCTCAAAGGGGTATATGAACGAGAATAGTTTGAGAACTCCTTACAAAAATCTATTGAGGTTTTGAATGCTGTCAATTCATTTATAAGGAATTTCACATAACTTTTGAGTGTTTCTTTCAATTTGGCATTTGAAACAAAAATGTACAGTCATCAAAGATATATTTCAAGAATATCGGAGGCCTGGTTGACACCATGACATTTATTTTGTTTGCACAGTTTGGAGAAGTGTTTCTAGCCTCTGAAAAGCAGAAAGGACTATCCAACTATAACTCCATTTCATTTGACTCTGAGGGTTTCAGTTCCTGCACAACTGACTGAAATGAAATTCTATCAAGTAGATCCTCTGTGCCTGTTGCACAGTTGTAATGCCAGTCTGTGGTCCGCAAGAGTGAAAGATGGCTGAGCCTCATCGTCCGCCCCATCATGTTGCTCTGGGAGGAGGACTGCTGGGCATTATCCCTGGGCCCTTGTGGGCACAGCCCTGTCTCTTGATGTACTTACTTTCTCGTTGGGGAGACAAGATGTGCTCAATATACACATAATTTTTCCCCCAATAGACCACTCTATAGACTGGAAAAACTAGAGAATGTACACACAGAATTTTACTTGAATATAAAATATCTATGGCTAACACTGTCCTTGATTATGATGTGTCTTATTAGGAATTTATAGATAATTTATAGATGATTTATCAGTGTTGATGATTCTTCAAAATCTGCCCATGAAAAATCCAGTCATTTTAAATATTTTTTAAAATATGTTTTTATGGATTTTCAGAGAGAGGAAAGGAGAGGAAGAGAGAAATAGAAACATCAACGATGAGAGAGAGTCACTGATCAGCTGCTTCCTACACGCCCCTACTGGGGATAAAGCCTGCAACCTGGGCATGTGCCCTGACCAGGAATCGAACCATGACCTCCTGGTTCATGGGTCAATGCTCAGCCACTGACCCACACCTGCTGGGCTAGTAATTTCAAAGGATACATTTTAGGACTAAATTTTAAGTAAATGACACAGATTTCTTTTATAGAAGTGGATTTTCCTAAATTCAGAGTGTTCTGCAATCTAAATAATAGGCTTTTCTGTCACAGTCTTCTGTTTACAAATAGGCGAAGAAAGTTTTCTTTCCTGTAAGAGAGAGAGGGAGAAAAAGAAAATATTTTTACACACACTAATTTATATACACACATATATATCCACAAGTTTCAGTAGAAGTTGCTATTTTTAAAATATTTATCAGAATAGGTGGGTTAAAACTTGATAAGGTTTGTAAAATTTATAGAGGCATCCCTTTCAAGGCTTGATGTGAGTTATGAAATCTAATTTTGTTTTCATGGCTCTGTGATAAAATTTTATCAACGTTATAAAAGGGGTCTTTACTAAGACTGACCGGAAATCAGAACTATCTGGCCAGGCAATAAAAACACATTCCTTAGCTGCAAAGTGTCTGACAAGCAAGGTTTACCTGAAATTGATCGATAAGTCTTCCTTTTACAGTTGAGTGCATTCACTTTGCCTCATAGGATAATAGTTTTCTTTTTAATGGTTTTTCCATTAATATCGGACTCCAGTGTTAGTAAGAAACATGAAAGACATAAAAGGGAGAGAGACATGCCTTCCAGAAAGAACGCTGTGATCTTTCAGGTACAGCACTGGTGCTCACGTGAAATGCATGTGTGGGTGAGGGTTGGGGCTTTTGCTGCTGACTGTTATGAATTGAAAAGTGCTTTCCCTCCCCCACGGTATTCACCTCCCCCACTCCCCGCCCCCAGCCCCACTCCTGTAGCATCTTAGACTGTGATCTTATTTGGAAATAGGATCACTGCAAATGTAATTAGTTAAGATGAGGTCATTCTGGACTAGGGTGGGCCCTTAGTCCAATATGACTGGAGTCCTTATAAAAAAGGGAAAATTTGGGCACAGACAGGTACATAGGGAGAATGACATGTAAAGGTGAAGGCAGAGATCTGGTGATGATTCTACAAACCAAGGGATGCCAAACATTGCTGGCAAACCACCCAAAGCTAGGGCGGAGGCATGGAACAGATCCTTCCCAAACCTGCTTCAGAAGGAACCACAGTTCTAGCCTCCAGAACTGTGAGACAATGAGTTTCTGTTGTTTAAGCCTCCGGTTTGTGGTACTTTGTTACCAGAGCCTTAGCAACTAATACACGGATGCATACAGCCTTTGGGGTAAGAAATGAGACCCCTGATGGCTTGCTGGGTCCAGATGAGCTGACCAGGGCCTCTCTCGTGCCCTTGGCAGTGCTCCTCCTACCTCAGATTGAGCATCCAAGTGCAAATCCCTTTGCCTAACTTAGCCATCATGGGGGAAACCTTCCAAGACAGCAGTGACTAGAGCAGGGGTGGGCAAACTTCTTGACTCGAGGGCCACAATGGGTTCTTAAACTGGACCGGAGGGCCGGAACAAAAGCATGGATGGAGTGTTTGTGTGAACTATAAATTCAAAGTAAACATCATTACATAAAAGGGTACGGTCTTTTTTTTTTTTTTTTAGTTTTATTCATTTCAAACGGGCCGGATCCGGCCCGCGGGCTGTAGTTTGCCCACGGCTGGACTAGACCCTAAAACTATTCCTTGAAGGCAACAGTGAACTCAGTTTTAGAGTTACCAATAACCATGCCTGAAATTCCTACAGCACTGAATAATGGAAAAAGCACAGGCTTTGAGGTTAGGCAGATCTGGGCTCCAATACCGGCCCTGCCACTTATTGGTTGGTGGCAAGGTGTTTCGCCTCTCAGCAGTGCAGCTTCATCATTTGTGAAATGTGAAAGCGGAAGTAGAAAACAGACCTACTTCTGAGGGTGGCCCTGAGAGTGGAATGAAGCAGACAACAGTGTAGAAGGCCAACATGGGTTCTGGTGCGTGTAGACACTCTGCAGCGTTAGTGGCCTTTCCCTTCCATGTTTCTGATTTGATCCTCACGTCAAAGGACTTGCCCAGCAGGGCAGGAGGCAAGACCCAGTTCAGGCCTTTCACACCAAGACCGGAGATCTTTCCCTGGGAGGAACCACCTCCAGGCCTGAGCCACCACTAAGCTGTGCCAATCCCTGCCTCTGTCACTCTGATAAAAATTTAAAGTGGGTTTCTGAGGGTGGAGATGATCTGGATGCAGGTCCTAGTGAACACCTGTAGAAAGGCCTGACCAAGCAGAGAGAGAGGCTTCCCAAGGTCACCTGGGGTGCTAACTGAATCTCACTACTGAATCAGAATCAGACTTTTAAAGTTGGGTGGGACTTTAGAGATGGAAGACTTTACATTCCTCATTTTATAGAAGAGGAAGCAGGAGCTCAGATGGGGCCCCAACCACTTAGCATCGAGCTGAATGATCTCATAAACCACAGTCTAATGTTCCTTCCATTCTATTATGCCCCTGTAGCTACAGTGTCTGCTCAGCAATGGAAGAACCAGAATAGGCCCAAGGATAGGTAGATTATTCTCAGAATAAACCTTTGTCATTGAAGAGAATTGCAGCTTTAGTGGAATCAAGGTGCCTCCCAGCTCTGTGATGCTGAGAGCAAGACCAGGTAAAGGTGGATTTCAAGATGGTGCCGCAACAGTAACGTAGCGAAGGGGTGGGCACATCAGGGCTCTTTTACACCTACTCTCAGGGGTGGTGAGTTTTGCTCATCTCAGCCCCAGCAGCTCTTTAAGCAGCTCATGGCAGTTTCCGAGTAGGTGGAGGGGGCGAGGAGCAGTGACTCGTGTTTGGAAATCTCTTAAATTGGCTGACTCCCATTTACATGCTGTTTCTGGCAACAGAGATCAGTCTGGGTCACCTCCATGTCACTGAGTAAATATGCTGAAAATTATTACTATTTCAGACAAATGTTTAACTGTTCTCAGATTATCTATGACACCCCAGGCCAGAGTCACAGCAATCTAACCTGGGAGTGAGTTTATTTTACTTGGTGATTTATGGAATGAGAATTCTGGGCGCTCTGTGGGACTAATTTAATATGAAACATTCAGATGTCTGTCTTATAATGCCATTCATCTTTCCTTAGCCTGCCTGCACCAGGGGGCATGTGGTTCAGAGAGCAGGCTCTCCCGTCTCAGCCACAAATCATCACACTTGTGAAAGGGGGTGACATGTCTTCCCTTCCAAGCCCGGCTGCCTGCAGCAGAGGCAGCCAGCAGTTAAGGGTCCTTCTGGGCACTGATGAGGGAAGAATGCTTTCTACTCTATCAGGCCTTAGGAGTGTTTTGAAAGTTACAACTTGCAAAGAAGGGATCATAGTCAACATTGCTTTAGATTGCCATGTGATAAAGGAAGTTCAGTCAGTCTCTACTGCCTTGTCAACAAGTGCAAGACTTGTTTTATAACAAACTTGTGTAATAGCCTGTGGATTGATGTAGTAATGCATGCCTTCGTTCGGGCTGCTGTAACAAAGTACCATAGGCTTACAAGCAACAGAAACTTATTTCTCACAGGTCTGGAGCCCGGAAGTCTGTGATCAGGGTGCCAGCCTGGTTAGGTTGTGGTGAGAGTCCTCTTCTGGGTTGCAGACTGCTGACTTCTTTCTCCCTGTATCTGCACATGGCACAGAGCAGAGCAGAGGAAGGAAGCTCTCTTATAAGGGCACTAATTCTATTCATGAGGGCTCCATCCTCATGACTTCATCTAATCCTAATTACTTCCAAAAGACCCCACCTCCTAATGCCATCACATCTGGCACAGAATTTCAACACATGAGTTTTAGAGGGACAAAATATTCAGTCTGTCATAATACATGTGATTAGGTAAGTGGAGTGAATGTGTCTCCAAAACTTGCCAACCTGAGTATGCTTAATTTAATATGAAAGGTCTAGTCCAGCTTTTATATTAGTTCCCTTTGATGGCTCCCCACTGCACTTAAAAAAAAAAAATTTCAGCCCAGCCAGCGTGGCTCAATGGTTGAGCATCAACCTATGAATCAGGGGGTCACAGTTCTATTTCTGGTCAGGGCACATGCCGGGGTTGCAGGCTCGATCCTAGTGTGGGGTGCGAAGGAGGCAATAGATTAGATTCTCTCTAGTCATTGATTTTCTATCTCTCTCTCCCCTCTCCTTTCCTCTCTGAAATCAATAAAAATATTTTTTGAAAGATAAAAGAAAAAAGAAAAATTCAAACTCCTTAGCATGACTGACGAAGCCCTCCAGAACTGGCATGTGCCCACCCATCCCTTGCTTCATGCCCATTACACCAACGTTCAAGACCTCTGAACTGTCCACGTAGCCACACTACTATTGCATACACCTTTGCATGCCCAGCACTCAGAACAGTGAGTGCCTGGCTATATTTATATAAGAATTAGTTCCTTGAAAACTCATTTTCTGTTTTCTAAGGAAAGTATCTATCTCCCAACCTATATGGATTCCATTTGTGGGGCAAGAGAACTATTTTGAAAATTAATTTTTCTAAGAGCACTTATTATGAAATGAAATAATATCCTGTGGAACTTCATAGTTTTTGATGAGCCTGCCAGGACTTAGAGCAAGAACAGGACAGAGAGGTGTAGTCTCCCCCCAGCAAGAAGCTCCTACAGCCCTAACCGGTTTGGCTCAGTGGATAGAGCATCGGCCTGCGGACTGAAGGGTCCCAGGTTTGATTCCGGTGAAGGGCATGTACCTTGGTTGCAGGCACATCCCCAGTAGCGGGTGTGCAGGAGGCAGCTGGTTGATGTTTCTCTCTCATTGATGTTTCTAACTCTCTATCCCTCTCCCTTCCTCTCTGTAAAAAAATCAATAAAATAATTAAAAAAAAAAAAAAAGAAGCTCCTACAGTGGAGAAAGGGTCACTTTGGCAAATAGGACCCCTTCCTGTCCCTGTTCCAAAGCTTCTCCTCTTTGTGCAATAAGAATGCCTAAGAAAACTCCAGGAAGCTGGCTATGGCTCCCACCCTCAAAATGACTCTGCTCCTTTAAAATGTATCCTAACCCTGACATTATTCTTATGACCTTTAAGATTTCATCGGCACCGAAGGCAGCTTAATTAACATGGGAAGCTCAGCACCTCAACTCATTTGATTTGCCTCCAACGTCTGGGCCTGGTTATAATCTCTGGGTGGGTGGTCTGGACACAAGGACATTTCCATTATTTCTCAAGGAAATGGTGATGAGTAAACGTGAGGACATTTAGACTCAGACTCTTACACAAAGAAGCAAGTGCTTGCCTTCATAACCTCTGAACATGAGAACAACAGTGTCCATAGGGCTCTTGAAACCGTACTTAGCGCTTGGGCCACGCCCAGCTGGGGGGGCACAGAACTCCTGGGTGGGCTTCTCAAGTGTGGTCAGCTACCGCTCTCTGTTCCAGAGGCTTGTCGAATGCAGACTCCCTGCCCCACCTCCGAATAAGAATCTCTGCTTTCAAGTCTGGGACTCTGTTTTATCACACCTGTGCACACATTATACTTTGAGAAGCATATGAAGGAAGCATTCTTGCTGACCCACAAATGGCTCAGGAACGATTGTTTTTAAGATAAAAGATGGGATTTAAAAGTCCTTAGAAGAGAAAAGCAAGGAAGACTGAAGAGAGAAGTCAAAAGGCAAGGAGAAAGAGGACAGGAAGGAAGAGAGAGTGTGGTAGAAATCTCAAAAGCAATATAATAAAATCTTGCCCTAACCGGTTTGGCTCAGTGGATAGAGCATCGGCCTGCAGACTGAAGGGTCTCGGGTTCGATTCCGGTCAAGGGCATGTACCTTGGTTGTGGGCACACCCCCAGTAGGGGGTGTGCAGGAGGCAGCTGATCAATGTTTCTCTCTCATCCAGGTTTCTAACTCTCTATCCCTCTTCCTTCCTCTCTGTAAAAAAAAAAAAAAAATGAATAAAATATTTAAAAATAAATAAATAAAATAAAATCTTATGCTTTGCTGGGCGCTAACCCTGGCATTTCTTGGGGTCCCTCTTCTCCTCCATTCCTTTCCAACTCAGTCCGCAGGCTAATTTAAGGAGAGTGTGCCTTTGGGCACTTTTCTTTATAACAGTTGCCGGTGGTGGCACCTAGGGATGACTGGCAGCTGCCTCAGTTGGTCTGACAGAGCTGACATTATTGACCATCCTCACACAGGCCAACACACCAATAGTAAGTCCTAAGTTGGACACACTAGGACTGATGAGCCGGGACCTAATGGATCTAGCAGCTGACTGCACCTTGTATCCAGCCATAAACCAGCACAGGGTACCGCAGATAATGAGTGATGGCACGTCTGATTCAGAACCACCATTTTCCTTGCCGTATAAATATAATTTCCTGTCTCCTTTCTTCCTCCCTCCCCCAACCCAGTTGCACCATGGATGTGAGCACTTCCTCACTCCTCATATATTTCCATTTGCACATATGGTGCAGGGTGACAGCCTATGGATAGTAGTGTCACATCACAGACGGGAAGAATTAGAAAATATGAGAGTGGGCAGCAGGCACCCACTGAGCACCCACGGTCCGCGGCCGGTCCACTTACTTTCATCAGCCCTCTCCTGAGTGGTTTTTGTTGATCTTGCTCTGCAGTTGCTTCTGGCCAAGCAGCCCCAACCATGCCATTTATGCCGAATTCTAGTTTATTGTGCTGAGAACAAAACTGCTGCTCGTTCTTTCTGCTCACCTATGAGGAGGGGTTGAGATGTGCTCAGAGGCAGGCGGGAACTGCAGACATTGGTGTAATAAAAACAACCGGGGAGCGCCACTGGGTCCAAATTCCACTTAACCCAGGACATTTGCATCGGATTTTGTAATGTCCTTGAATAACACAGACTTGTGGGTTTTGATTGCTCTCTTCTAAATGATGCCAGGAAAAATGTGCTGCCTTGGTCAATCGCAAATCTCGATGGCCCTCAGCACACCTGGGCTATTATTAAAGGTCAGCTCACAAATGCTGCAACAGCTATTGGCCGCAATTTCTAAGTGATTCTCTCTTAAAAGAGAACAGATGTATCTTTACCTTTTGTTGTTTGTTTGTTTGTTGCTTTGTTCTCTTGACCTGCAAACAAATATTTAGTTTTTATGAACAATCAAGAAAAAAAAAAAAGGAAATTCAAGGTTATTGCTTTAAGAAACTACCTCTGCATTTTGAATCATTACTGATGTGTCCTGTTTTATAAAGCTGATATAAGCACCCAGATAAAATGATCCTTATTTATAAATGCTGTTGGTTAATCTCAGAAAGCCTGTCAAAAGGCATATTGCTTTTAGTTCACTTGCATAGAAACATACAACTTTACTCCAACACTTCACCAGGCAACCAAAGCTAGAGTAGGGCAGAAACATCTAGAAAAGTTCTTCCCCCCAGGACAATCACCAATGCTGATCTGCTTGTTCATCACATCTGGATCACCTTAAGGGTGTGTGAGAACCAGCAGGAAATACATTTCTGGAGAAAGCCATGGACTTGAGGATGGTTGCTATAGTCTTTAATAATAAATGGTTTCCAGTTGATAGGAAAATATTGAAATGTGACTTATACATATGAGGCTGATTCAAATTTGATAAACATGGCCTCAAAGGAAATTACTGGGTTTATTAAAAGCCTAGGAGGGCTGAACAGAATTGCAGTCATCTTATCCTGGAGTCCTTGCTGAAGGTGGGGTAACGGCTCCCCAGTCCACCTTCCAGCCAACCACAGAGGAAGGTCAGTAATAAAGAAAGAACAGGTCTAAGCTAGACAAGCCGTCCTCAACGAAGCCAGTGTTGCTGCCTTGCTGGTGAAGTGTGATGTGTTGATGACTGTTATATTACATCTAAAATCCCATTTACTAGTAATAGGAAAGTTCAGTGCAGAGTCTTGCCTTATGTCTCCTGGTACTTGATACACATTGTGTGATATTACCAATTTTCGCTTCAGGCGTATTCACGTGCCACAGTGAAGACTTCACAGGAATTTGCACGTTTGATCTAGGCTGAAATTATGCCATTTTCATTGCAAATCAACTTATCCATGGCAGCAAAATGATAGGTACTTTTGCTCCTAGAGAAACGCCTTTGTTTTCAAGATATTTTGAAAAAACATAAAATGCTCTGTGACTATGGGGATTGTGATCCTGTCATTCTAGGGAGGGGCTCAGCAGGTTAAGAATCCTGTTGGTTTTATGTTATATGTCTAAAGTTAATATAAAATAATATGGACTATAAGCTGTAATTGAAAAAAATTTAAATTAATAAACATAAAAGAATCTTGTTAGCCTACTTCATAACTGGGAGTGTATTTCTTAACCCTTCTTGTTTGAACTTTCTTTTTATTTTTTTAAAAAAAGAAGAAGATGAACAAAACAAAATGCAATCTTTTCCTTCTATGCTCCACAAAGCTGTTCTGGAATGCCTTCACATCTCTAACATCCACTGTATGTAGAGAAAATGTCTGCAAAAGGGCAAATTGCTGTGGAGGTAACACGGGAAATTTCACCTCACTGTGCTCTGCTTTTAGCGGGGTTGGAGACGGCAGCAATTTATTCATGCAGCCCCACTGACTTGAAGACAGGGAGTAAATACTGGGCCTTCTGCAGCGTTACCCAGAGCCCCCTTCAGCAGAGATGATCTACTGCCTCCCTGCATCACATTAAAGTGGTGGATGGAGGAGTGAGCCCAGCTGAGCCATTCTGTACACACCTAGCCAGGTTGCAATTTATATTCAGACAGAGCTGTGAGTGGCTTTCAGAGGAAGAGAGCGAAAAAGAGCATTTCTCTGGAAATGTTCTACCCAGACCGGAAACCAAACTCTGATTTGTCACTGCTATTTTTAAAAAATGATTCTTTCATCAACGCAGGAAGAAACTGACACCTAAGATTGCTAAGAATTTTCCTTGACCCTGCTATTAAAAAAAAAAAAAATCATTCCATGACTTTTTCTTCAAATAGTGCATGTACCCTCTCCCAGAGTTTCTGTATCAAGGACACAGCCCATGACTTTTGGTTACTGAGCTTATGTCTGCAATTATACAGCTTCACTCTTGTGCACAACATCGAGCCGTGCCCTATATAGTCCTACACTGTTCCTACAGGCCAAACGCAGGGGAAATTGGAGGAGGAAAGATTGACTCATGACGTGGCATTCAGTGGCTACCAGCCATTTCCTTTTCATTCAGTAAATACAGGATTTTAACATGGAGATTTGGAAAATATGGTGGCTGAGCCAGAAAAAAATGTCAGTCTGGGTCAAATTTAATGGTAGGTGGTCAAAGAGTCTATTTTATTATTTAAATATAAATATAACTTGACACCACTAAGTTATTTTTCAATAGTAACTAGTAGTCTTCTTTCTTTTTTCCTGGAAGAAAATATACTTAACATAGTTATTTTACTGGAATTACTTTGTCTAGTTCTGTTCCCTTTCCAGGAATAGGTTTGAGGAGTCAAATGCTGCTCTACGTAAAATGTAAAGGTAATAGCTTTTTAAAGAGAGAGACAGCATAAAATTAAAAAGGATGGATGGGGAGGGGTGGGAAGAGATTAGCCAGAGAACTTTTATGCATACATGCATAACCCATGGACACAGACAATAATGCAGGAGGGGGTCCGGGGGTGGAGGGTGTCAATGGGGAAAAAAGGGAATATCTGTAATACTTTCAACAATAAAGATAAAAAAAGGGGCGGGGGATGGCCCTGACTGGGTGTTTCAGTTGATTGTAGTGTCATCCCTACACCAAAAGTTTATGCATTCGATTCCTGGTCAGGGCACACACCTAGGTTGTGGGTTCCATCCCTGGTCCAGGCACCTACAGGAGGCAACCAATTGATGTTTCTCTCTCACATCAATGTCTCTCTCTCTCTCTCTCTCTTTCTCTCTCTCTCAATAAAAACATATTCTTGAGTAAGGATTAAAAAATTAAAAAGGATGAATAATAATCACATCAAAGCAAGTATATTAGTACACATATATAGGCTACACAAGCAAAATACCGCACAAAATATGATGGCTCTGCTAGAAATCGAGTCGATGTACCAGAGACTGCAGCTTCTCGGGTGGAGACACCACGATGTCTGTGGCTTCAGGGCCCTGCTGCCTTCGGATTCTGGCATAACTGGCTCTGACCTCCATCAGTTGTTTTAACTCTGTTAAAAAAATATTTTGAGAGGCAAGTCAAGGCATTAATGGAAAATAATTAAAAGTCCAGGGTAATGAAACACTGAAGTTTCCTCAGAAATCCTTCACTCCATGCCGGACTCTCGCGACACACTTGACTTCTTATCACATCACATATGTGTTAACATTCTTGGGATTTCTACACAATGGCAGTTGCTGGAGAGGGCTTCCTTCCAGGCATGTTATAACGCCTGAACTGAAAGCTAACCTAGGAGTGGTCTAAAAATTGAACCCACTGAGAAGATGGTAAACACAGCAGTGAGAGCAGTTCAGATCTCATGACAAATGGCATAAAGCACTCTTTTAATTTTGTCAGGGGTATGTATGAAAGAAACCATTCTAATGGCATCTGATTTGTTTTGCCAAAAGCCCAATGTGATTTTTTGATGACTAACTTCCACGTGCTAAATGTTTTTACATTATAATACACAAAATAAGTTATTATAAAGTATTAGTTTTGAAACTCCTAGGCTGTCTTATTTTCTACTACACATAAGCCAAGAAGCCACAGAAAAATTATGAATGAAGTTTTTAATTAATGAAATGTCCCTTTATAAGTATATACATGCTAGTAGCCTTTCTCTCTCTTTTAAAACATTCTGAATATTTAGATTTCTATAAATTATTTCTAACTTAATTCTTTCAGAAAAAAAACAACGAGATAGCACTCATATGGTAAACTAAGTTTCTAAAGTGCAATTAAATTAAAAGTCTGTTATCAATCAGGTTTTTTAGGACATGTATCACTTACTGGAAAGAATTCAGACAATTGCAGAAAACCACTAACCATATGCAGGTACTATGGGGACCCACTTTCATAAAAAAGAATCAACTTTCATATCATAGTAATCCACGTGCTTACAAAATTGAAGATGCAAAAACAAACGTTTGTCCACACAACCTAGTCACAGGTTCACAGAGCCAACAGAGAGGGAAATTGTAGGGAGAGTGATATTTGCATTTCCAATTTTCTCTCTTCCCTTCATAGTTTTTATTGGTAACGAGCCTGCCTCTGGGAAAGCAGCCTACATTTCGCACTGTATTTTGGATACCCTTTGGCTAGGTTGACTGCAGCATTCTTAGGTTTATTTATCAAAGAGGTCCAATGAACACAGTGAGGCCAGGAGGCTGAGGTCCAGGCGACAGAAGGCCAACCCAAGAGTATGAAAGATTAAGCATACCAGTAAATAATGAAGGGACTTGGTAAGTACCTCCTACTATTCAATTGTGTTGTAATATTTCAAGTGTGTTTACATACTTAGATTGAAAACTCTTTCAGGAAAGAAACCCAGAAGGGTTTCTTTTATAGGCTATGCACTTTGGGAACACACAAACTGTCAACTAATACCAATGATAAGAACCCCAATGATTGGCATATTCTTCCAAGGAACCACATCATGAGGGTCTGCAGGAGCGGGGGTGTTGGGTAATGATGAGTGACAGGGACAATAGAATACAAAGAATACAAGATTGGAGCCTCTTCCTTTGTACAGGAAGGTGCTAGAGGAATAGTTGTAGCATGCCCAAAACAGTTCTGGTCATCCCAATAAATTCCTGTTTCCCTCCTTTTTAGTCTTCATTCCTATGCTTTGTTCCTTCATGACTAAATGTAAAGAACTAATTATGACAGTTTGAAAAGTTTTTGGTTTACATACCTTATATATAACATAGTAATAATCATTTTATGGTGACCTTTTAAAAGAAACAATCTAGCTTTATTACTTTAGAAAACCAGATAATTCACTTCCTATTCTTTTAATATCTTTAGAGTGATAGCAATGCTCTTCAGAATTTCCTTAAAATGATGTTTTTGCTGATCTATGCTTACCTACCAAAAAGGGCTTTAAATTCCTCAGGATAAATAAGATAAAGGACAACAGTTGGTTTAAAAACAAATACATGTTCTTTTCCACTATTATTTATGAAAGAAAATTATCAGAAAACAGACAAAATGATTAAATGAGTGTATATTTACTGTTTACTAAAGAAAGGAAATCTACCCAGCTGGCATGGCTCAGTGGTTGAGCATTGACCTATGAACCAGGAGGTCATGGTTCGATTCCAGTTGGGACACATGCCCAGGTTGCGGACTCGATCCCCAGTGTGGGGTGTGCAGGAGGCAGCTGATCAATGATTCTCTCTCATCATTGATGCTTGTTTCTATCTCTCTCTCCCTCTCCCTTCCTCTCTGAAATCAATAAAACAATATTTTTTAAAAAGAAAGGAAATCTACAAACCAAATAGTTGTTATTAAGCAAACACTAAGTTTTAAATAATTTGAAAAGTAGGAAGACAATGGAGCCTCACTTTCCTGAGGGTTCATACTAGCACTAAGGAAATACCTTCAAATTAGGCCCTTGAGAATCCCTGCAAATAAGCCCCAGGGATAAGGCACAAGACTAACAGAATTTTGATTTTTTTTAACTCTGACTTCTTTAGAGCAAACAGTGTCATAAGTTTATACATTTAACTTTAGTAACATGGAATAGAACAGTGTAGAGGAGGAGTTCTTGGAAGAAAATACTGAATGATTTAATTCTTTGGAAACTCGATGGAGAGAAACTGTCATCATACCTTTTTGGGTTACAAAGCCATGTCCTGTGGACACACAGATGACCATGTCTCGCTCTATTTGGTCCCAGGACAGAATCAGCTCTCCCCCGGGGGTGTACAGGGTGCTGGCTGGGCGGGCCATCTTCAGACGAGCCGAGCAGTCATCTAGCAGCTGAGACACCAAGGTATACACTTAGCATTGGAAGGTGGATTGTCACAACATAGTTAAGTATTAAAGATTCAACTCTTTTAAGGGAACTAGTGTCCTGATTTGAACACTCATTTTACTTATAATTGTTAGAAAGAGATATAAACGGAGATGGGGAGAAAGACATACCAAGTTCACTCAAGTGCTTGAACAATGAGGAACGTCAGGGCTACTGGAGAAGAATCCAGAATAAATTAAACTTGATCATCAAAAAAATAGAAGAAAAATTTCCTGTCCCAAACAGGCCATGTCTTCAGATCAAATAGGTTAATGCAGGATAAGTCAAAGTTAATAAGTCAAAGTTAATTTAAATATAACTGGGTGGAAAGTATGAATTTCAGACATGGGGGAAAATTCAATTATGTTTAGACCTGTTTTCTGCAACAATGAGTTTCTAAGAAAATAAAGCAGTCTATGAAGTTTTTAGGGGAAAAGATTTTTAACATAAAATTTCAATATCCAGCTAAATTATGACTTTTGGCTATAGAAAACAAAAGATATTCTCATGTACACAAAAAGTCAAAACCATATTACATACATTTCAGATTAAGAACTGAATGAAATAAATTCCTTCACTATGGGAAAGCCATAACATGACTAATATTAGGCAGTAAGACAACTAGAACACAATTTGACTTCTACAAAAATGGTCAGAAAAATAAACAAATTAAACATTTTAAAATAAGTTTTCATAGAAAAAAATAATAAGTAAATGTAAAACATTAGCAAAAAGGGACATGGGCAAGGAAAAGAAAAGCAAACAATTCTAATTACCTAACGATTTTCATATAAATGTGTTCATTGGAGTATGTTTTGTAATAGCAAAAATTTAAAAACAACTTAAATGGCAAACAACACAAAATAGGATGAATAAATAACAATCCATCTATTTGACAGAACATAATGATACCATTGAAAATAATTAAATTGTATGGATAAAAAGTCACAATAATGTTTTAGGTGAATAATACAGATTGCAAAATTGTGTATGCCCTTTGATCTACTATGATCACAATGACAAAAAAATTATGACTCTATAGTAACCACATAAATATATCTACTAAAATTATAATAACTTTGGTGATTTTTGTTTTTTGACAGAATTTTCATTTCCTTCTGGGTGCCTTTTCTTTTTCTAATTATAATACAATGTCTATATACTGTTTTATAATTAGAAAACAGAATGTTATTCAGAGAACCAAAAACTTCACTTGTAATAGATTCATATGGCTTCCCTTCGCAATTTTTCTAAAATTTCCACAGTAGTCACTGTCTTAGACTGCTTGGGGTCCCAAAACAAATGCCATATACTGAGTGGCTTACATGGTCCAAATTTAATTCTCACAGTCTGGAGTTAGGGAAGTCCAAGATCCAGGTGCTGGCTGGCTGATTCACTTTCTGGTGAGAGCTCTCTCCCTGGCTTTGCAGACAGCTGCTCTCTTGTATTCTCACATGGTAGGAGAAGAGAGAAATCTCTCTTTTCCTCTTCTGATAAGGCCACAAATCCTATCAGATTAGGGCTCCACCCTTAAAACATTATTTAATCTCCATTGCCTCTTAAAATTCTCCCTTCAGATATAGTCACATTGTAAGGCCTCAAGATAAAAATGTTAAGGGTACATACTTCAATTCATAGAAGTTACTCATTTTTTTTCTGCTCTAGTGGTGTCCTAGAAATATGTATTGGTAGATCTCTGGAAGAAACTTGTGATGCTTGAAAAGATCCCACATAAAGGTACTGCTTATATTTTTTACTACTTTACCACTAAAATGTCACAATTCTATAGAGGCTATGTTTCCCTCTAATCAGAGAAATGAACATTATTTAAGAAAAGTGCAAAATATGAATTAAATATATCACTATTTCATTTGGTTTTCACAAAGATCTGTTTACATGAGACAAATTCATTGAGTTTACAAAACTCTTTTAAAAAATAAATTTGAAAATAAAGTATTTTCAACAAAATTAAATTCTAAAACATCTAGTCAGCATGTGACCTTTAATGTTTGTAATTTTTGCCATAACAAAAGCTCAGAACAAAGGAACAATGTTCTATGCATCATTTCTCTCCCACAATCTATTTTGTGAGTTTAATTTTCCTAGACCCGATCTTCTCAGGGTGGGGCCCATGGGCATCATTGAACTATTGCATATTCCCTGTGGGCAAGAGGTACTTGCCCCTACAAATCAAAGGGAGCTGTTTCTCATTCTTTCAGCTTCCACTCATACATTCAGCACTGTCCCTGGCCAAGAGAGAACACACTGACTTTGAGATTCTGTAGAATAGGAGAGATGTTGCAGGAATGGGAGAAGATGAATGCTTCTGGTCGATAGAAGGAGGGGTCTGAGCAATCATAAATCAGAGAAAGATGTCGGCCCTGAAGAAAGAGCCAGTAATCCGGTGAGGAAGCCACCTTGGTGCATGGATGACAGATGAGCCTAAAGCAGTTGGAGATGAGAGCTGCTTTAGCAATGTTCAAAGAGTGGGTAGGAAGGATGTGGTTAAATCATCCAGAATGGCCACAGCAGTGAAACAAGTTGAGGAAAAGCCTGCATTAGATGGGATTCAAATACTGTCCAGGGGCTTCATTACAGAGTGTAGAGTGAAGCTCTTTGAAATGTGTCCTGTTCCTCATTCTTCTGGCAAAAGTGCCAACCACTGAAACTTTTAGCTTCTCTGGAATTGATGACATTAGCCGGATTCCCCCAGGGAAATCTGAGCCCAACTCTTCCCATTGTGTATTTGTTTTACACACAAGTCCCCTCTGTAGAAGTATTCTTGACAGCCTGATAGCCTGAGATGACACATTTCCAACTGATCACAGAGAACCTTAGGCAGGAGCCTAAAAACAAGAATAAAGGACATGGAAAAGGAAAGGAAAGCAATAAGAAATAACTTAAAAATAAATAAATAAAGCAAAAGACTGGGCCAGTGTGGCTCAGCAGTTGAGTGTTGACCCATGAACCAACACTCAACTGCTCATCCTACATGCCCCCTACTGGCTTGACCCCCACTAGGGGGCATGTAGGAGGCAGCGGATCGATGATATTTCTCTCTCATTGATGTTTCCATCTATCTCACACCCTTGCCCTCCCCTAAAAATCAATAAAAACATTATAAAAAAATAAAGCAAAAGAGAAACAACATGCTAAAAACTTTTTAGGCATCTCCTAAGTATCTTTCTATTAAGCCACATTAATCTCCCCAAAATATTGCTTTCATTATATCATTTCCTTATTCAGAGACAACTAGTGGTTCAAGCACTTTAGTTGGGGGTAGTGTGATGGATTGAATTGTGTCATCCTCCAAACTCATAAGTTGAAGCCCTAACACACAATGTGACTATATTTGGAGAAAGGGCCTTTAAGCAGGTAATTATGGTTAACTGAGGTCATAAGGGTGGGGCACTAATCCCACAGAACTGTGACCTTATGAGAGGAAGAAGAGATGTTAGAGCTTTTCTCTCTCCTCTCCATGCCTGAACAGAGGTAAGGCTCTGTGAGGACACACAGCAGGGAGAAGGTGGTTGTTTGCAAGCCAGAAAGAGAGGCCTTGTCATAATCCAACCCTGTTGCCAGCCTGATCTCAGACTTCTCAGCCTCCAGAGCCCTGAGAAATAAATTTCTGTTTAATTCCTCCCACTCCCATCTGTGGTAGTATTTTGTTATGGCAATCCAAGTAGACTAATACAGATAGTATGTGGGATCCACCGTATGCTTTTAAACAATCTCTCCAGTTGTATGTATCTCTCCCTACATGTCAGTTTAAGGACCATCTATCTAATATGATTTATGCATTCTAACACCCATATCTTTGTGTGTGGTACCTCTCATCCTTGTTACTACTTTTTCTGCCTAAGATACTGAATCTTGCCCATTTCTCAAGTTCCATCAACAGTGTCGATAATTCCTCTCGGAGCCTCTCCTTCATCCCAGATGGGCAGTGTTCCTTTCTCTGAACTATTGAACCCCTACTTGCACTACTGATTGACCATGTCACCTGCTGTTAGTACTTCTCCAAAAAGAATGCTAGCTCCATTAGCAAACATATTTCTCTCACAAAGACAATCTATGTTCATCACAACAAAATATGGAACACATAGAAAAACACACAAGAAAATAATACCAACTTTATTAGGTCACCAATAATAAGACCATCCAGGAAATACTCCTCAAAATAAAATCCTCCCAGTCTGTTTTTCTAGAGGTATTCATGTATGTATATAGAATTCAACTCCACATGCTGTAGATTTTGCTTCTTTCACTTAGCATATCTTAAACATGTTTATTGTCATTATTTTTTCTAAAGTTGATTTTTAGTTATAATATTCGATCCTATGTACTATAATTCATTTAACCAACTCTCTGTTTATGAGTGTTTAAATTATTTTTGAATCCATCTGTATTATAAATAACTGTGAAATATATTCTTACTAAACAACCCTTGCATAAATTTGTGAAAATATTCTTGGGATAAAGTTCAGAAGTACTTCTATAATAATAAAAGGGTGATATGCTAATTAGACCAGATGTCTTCTGGACATCCTTCCTGATGAAGCTGGGGCCCGAGGGAAGCCAGCCAGGGTTCTTTTTTTTTTTTTTAAATATATATTTTATTGATTTTTCACAGAGAGGAAGGGAGAGGGATAGAGAGTTAGAAACATCTATGAAAGAGAAACATTGATCAGCTGCCTCCTGCACACTCCCCACTGGGTATGTGCCCGCAACCAAGGTACATGCCCTTGACTGGAATCGAACCTGGGACCCTTCAGTCCGCAGGCCGACGCTCTATCCACTAAGCCAAACTGGTTAGGGCTAGGGTTCTGGGTGCCTGCTAGCAGCTGGAGGAGGGAAGCCTGGGTCCCGGGTACCTAAGGGAAGCTGGTTCCAGCAGCTGGGGGAAGGAAGACCTACTCTTGCACGAATTTTCATGCATCAGGCCTCTAGTTTTCTTATGCATGGCCATGTTGTCCTCCAAAAGTTGTACTTCTGTCAATAGGAGTGCCTGTTTCTCTACACACCCAAGTAAATCTTGATACATTTTCAATGCTTTGCCAACTCGAAATATTAATTTAATGTGAGCATAGACATGTGTTATTTTATTCCTCATACTGCTGCCACCACTATTGAATTAACCTGTGAATTATACTGCATTATAAAGTTTTCAAAATCTTTTCACATTCATAAGTTAGAATAATACCTTACAGCATCTAGCCCTTCATGTACAAAGTTCATAAAAAATTGCATGATCATGGAATAATATTTATGAAGTGAATTTTATATGCTACATAAGAGTCACAAGCCAAAAAGTCATTCCTCCACCATATATATGATATTTATGTAGAAGTTATTATAAGTTTTTGCCTTCCTGAGTCTGATAGGCTATCTTTAATCCTATGGTCCCTTTTCTACCCTTGGTCTGTTTATTTATCATTTCATTTTCCCTCACTAATGTATCAGTTCTAGTTGCAATTCATTGGTGCATTTTAAGACTTAGCAATTACAATACAAATTGAGATTTTCATTGAAATCAACACGGAAGAAACATTTCAGCTTTGTTATAGAGCCTATTCTAGAATGTTCTCTCCTGAAAAAGTTTTCATTCTCTTTTTAAAATCCATTTTCTTTTCCCCCCTACGTATATGAAGTGTCCTTACTTTTTTTTTTTTTTAATCTCCTTTCTCAAGTATAGCAAATTGGTTGTCCCCTTCTGAGATGTGATTGCTTCCGAGATCTTATTCAAAGTCCCTGTCGAACTGGAATGGTCTCTGGGACACTCTGAGTCTAGACCACTTTCAGGGGCAGAACACTTCAGAGATGCGAAACGGAGATGCGCCTACTACTCCAGGTGCCCTTGGCAACCTACTTGAACTCCTCCAGGCCAGTCTATTGCACCAGTGTGTTTTCCCTCCACCCCTACCAATATCTCACCTTTATGAGACTTTCTCTTGTCCCCCCACAATTTATAAAAACATTTCACAAAATTAAAAAACCAAACAACTTTTTGAGATGTCACTGAAACAGTTAATACTTTTAAAAAGTCTACCAAAATCCATTTATGTGCCTAAAGTTTTTAAAGACTAAGACAAAATGTCAAACTTAAGAATTATATCCTTGATATTGCAAACAATAAATAAACTGCTTTTCATCATTTTCTTAGTCAATATTTTACCTTTGCTAAGTGAAAAGCTGGCTGCAGTTCCAGGACTCTGGGTAGGAAAACTATGATAATTTTTCTCTAGTGAATACTATTGCTTTCCCTACAGAATAATACCTGACAATCCTGTGGGGAAAAAAAATCATTCTTTTGTAAACTGGGTTTGAAACAGAACAGGAAAACTATTTTAAATTATTCCAAAGTTTAGATTTTACTCTTGAGCTGCAGTGGGTTTAATTGTCACTGTTCTTGTTGGCCAAGTGTCCTATTCTGAGTCACACATACATCGGACGGCACTGGATCCCACATTTTCACTAGTATAAGCCCATTAAATCATCATATCAATCCAGTGAAGAAAGTATTATTCCCATTTTACAGTTGAGAAAATGAGGTTTAGAGATGTAATTTGTCTGACCCCACAATCTAGAAATGTCAGAACTGGGATTCGAACCTTCTCTTTTCACACCAGGTTTACCTCTGAAATGCTTTTGCCCCAGGCATAAGTGCCATTGTCGGGTCTGCATCCATTTAGATAAACCCAGACCCGTTTTGTGTTGGGTTGCTTATACAGGCTGCTCTGCTTGAGTGCTGTGTGTTTAGTTGCAGTTGGAGAATTTCTCTTAGATTGCCGTTCTTGGATTTCAGAAAGGTGTGCCTGTCAAGGAAAGCCCAGAGAATGCCATGTTTAGTGTGTGTGAAGAACATGACAAAAGACAGGAATCTTATGATTGTTTACGTGCAAAATTTTAGGAAGTGCATTACTCTCTCCTGTCTCTGAGTCTTTTGTAAATTTCCCTTGCTTCAACGAATCACTTAAGACAATAATAATCATTGCAGTGATAATAACTAGGTACTCATTTTGGCAAAGCACTTCATTTTCATTTATAATTTCAAGTAATGAATAGAGATGTGTTTTTGGACTTCTGCATGGTATTTCTCCTACTGAGAAATTTCTCTGCATCTAATAGATGAGTTTTTGATTAGAGTTACAACAGCGTTTCCTTTAACCAAGAAACGCTTAAGGGAATGTGCGGGACTGTTGTTGAGTCCCTAATCTCCGTCTTTGCAAACACAGCAGCCACCCTTACACTTTGCCAGACCCCAGCCAGGCAGCTTTTCATCCCACTCCAAGCATGTCCTAGTTCAGTGCTTTGCATTCATTCCCTGGTCAGTGATTTATCCTTGTTCATTTGGCAACAAGTCCTATTTCTAGCAATGTCAATTTCTTTTTTCTAGTAAGCTTGACTTGGGCACACACCCACAATGTAGACTGAACACACATCACGATTGGAGAAACTTATTAAATAAGAACATATCATTTTAATGAAAACATCACAAAGCAAAAAGTTTTCCCAGATCTCTATCCCCAATCCTCTCTCAATAGCTGACCTTTCTCTTCTCGCCTTTTTCATGTCTAGCAATCCTGACTAATTAAGCAATTGGGTTGAAACAGCTTTTTGAATTCCTCATTTCTGAATGTTTCCATAGCAATTAGTATTTTGCTCCTTGCTCTTTTTACACATTGAGACATACCCTTAGGAGTGATGAGCAATGAAGCCATAAGGTCCAACTTGAATACACTTATTATAATCACTTTTGTACATATCCACTGGGCCTTTTTTTCTTCTTGGCTAAGGTCATAATTTCTGGTCTCCATTCAAACAAAACAGACTTCCCTATGAGCTGGATGTCTTTTAGAGAGCTGCTCTCCAAATGCCAACTCAAGGCTTGGCATATGCCTACATGGTCATAACTGACCAGATGCTGAGAACATATTAATGGGCATAATTTTAAAATTCAATACTGTACTTTTGAAAGCGTATAATAGAGGCAGAGTCTTTAATGTCTTGAGTCCTAAAGAACATACCTCTGTATGTCTTATACATTCCATGAGTTTAATTTCCTCTTGTGTCTGTTCGGTCCAGCCTCCTTCCACCACCACCGGCTGCACAGGGCTTTGGTTGGGAACCATGGTGGCTGGCTGACATGCTGCTACTCGCCGCCCTGGGGAAAGAAGTCTCTAGAAATGTTGTTTCTGATGATGAGCTTTCAGATTTCAAATAAATTGGTTTGGCTTTCTATGCATAAATCATTCCACTTGGGAGCATAGGCTAAAACACTAAATATATCAGAAAAGCTAAGATGCCTAAGGTAATCATATCTAACAATGCCTCTTCATATGGGAGCTTGAGGTTTCAAATAGCCAGGATATGCATTCTCACTGCACAGATGGAAAGAAGAGGTAACATCCTGACTTCCACACTGGCCCCAGCCTCTCATCAACGCAATGGTTCAGCAGTAATTTAGTCAAATAGAATCCATGACCTATATAGCCCATCATCTCTTCCAGTCATGCAACATATGTTTTGTTCTCGTCACTAATAATAAGCCTTTCTCCCACAATTAGCTTAGCAGCCTGGGGATTAAGTATTTCTAAAATAATATTAACCCAAGAGACAGGAGGCCTTTTTTTCTATCTAATAATACCTTGTGAGCACAATTAGTTTCTGACACCTCTGCTGTGCCCCTTAGGCTGTTAAGAAACTGTGGTAAGAGAAAATATTTATTGGAATACTGCATTCCAAAGAATCACAGGCATGATTTAATAAGTGTGGCGATGTGAATTTATGCATCCTTTCAACTAGAGTACTTAAAATCGTTATTAAAGGAGCTTAAAAGTCATACTTATGAATTTTTTGTGTGCTGAAGAGATACTCAGCACTGAGTGTCATGCTGATCTCTAAACTTAAGTAAAAATAATGCTTTTCTCGTATGCTCCTTCCAGAAACCAAGTTGAATAGCAGCTATGGGTCAGACATTGTGCTGGATAATGTAAATAAAAATATGTTCAAGATCAGGTCATTGCCTCAAAGGCTTACACTTTGGTGGGAAAGGCAGATGTCAAGGAGATGATTAGAACAATAACTGATTGTGACTGTGCTGCACCAGGGAAGTACACGGCCTATAAAGCCATGTAGCAGGAGTCGCTAACCTAGTCTGAGGTCTCAGGGAAGGTTTCTTTGAGATAGTAACACTTAGGTGGATATAATAATAAAAATTCTAAAATGAAGTTAAGTACTAATTATGTTGCCAAAAGACTCTTTAGCAACTCTTTTCAGAATATGACTATGAAGAAAACTCATTGAAAATAATTCAGAACTTGTGGAGAATAAAGCATTTGTGCTCTTGTAGTTCAAGTTTGTAGAAATAGATCCAATAATAAAAATAAGTGGCAGCAATGACTTTTCATAGAAACCAAAACCCTATATACATAGCATTCTTATGCAATTTATAAATGCGGAGAAAACATAACTGAATCAGTCAGCCAATGAGTTACACTGGCAGTATCATTATACAACATGCTTTGAAGAAGACACAATGGTAGCAGAAATATACATAACAGAAATTAATGCACTAACCATAGTTTTAAGACAACTCTATTCATAATGTACAGAAAACATTAATTTATGACATAAATTCTTATGAATAATATTTCCATAAATATTTTATTTACTAGTATAATGCATTTTGAACGCTAGAATTTTGCTCAGTTAATGAGAGTTCAGCAATAGTTTATCACTTGCACTGTTGAGAGCCAGGATTTGAACATAGGAAAGAACAAAAACCATTATGCATTATTTGTTTTTTGTCAATGTGCTTCTAATGCTCTTAAGAAAATTAAGCATGAATATACTTTCATTATCCTATCTAATAAAGAGGGAATATGCAAATTGGCCATCACACCGTCACAAAGATGGAGGTGCCCATAGCCACAAGATGGTGGCGCTCAGTCCCCTCAGCCCCGCCAGAGTCCCCCAGTCCTTTCAGCCCTGCTGGGGAGGTGGGGGATCATGTGGCAGGCACACGGTGCAGCGGGACCTGTTTCAGCCCCTCAGCCGCCCAGGGATGGCCCAAGGCACAAGCAAGCCTTGGATGGTGGCTGCCCAGCCACTCAGGGTGGGCCCGAGGCACAGGCAAGCCTTGAATGGCGGCTGCCCAAGGCTCAGGTAACCAGGGCTGGCCGAGGCTTGCGCTGTCGGCAGTGGCAGCAGCAGAGTTATGATGGGGCTGTCACCTTCCCCTGATCGTTGGGTCACCTCCTGCCCCTGAGGGCTCCCAGACTGTGAGAGGGAGCAGGCTGGGCTGAGGGACTGCCCCCCTCTCCAGTGCATTAATTTTCATGCACTGGGCCTCTAGTAATTATCATAAAGAGACATAATGTTATCACAAAAGGTTTTGGTTTGGGGAATGGTTTTCATAACAAACTATTATTTATGTAGGAAGAATATTGAAACCAAGCAAAAATGTATTGAATACATTATTTTTATTTTCTTATTACCATTTTCTATATATCCTATTTTATTTCACATGAGATCAAGGGAAAGTAATGATAATAGCCAACTATTAATGGGGTAAGCTAGAGAACATGAGTGCTTTGCTATTTTCAGACTATAAATCTTAAACCAAATTTCAGACTATAAAACCTGGACAGCCTTTCTCATACCCCTCCCTAATGGGGAGGCCATCCCTATTTCAGCATCATCTGTGCCCGAGAGGATAAGTCCACCTTATTTGGGGTTTTATTTAGCAGCTCCATTTAGTTATCACACTAAATAAAAGGTTCTAGTGTTACCTTTATACATAACAAAGATGATACTTTGCCATTCTTTACTTTTACTTATCAGTGTTTAAGACGCCAGGTGGGAGCATGGGCTGCTTTCTTCAGGAACTCCTATCCTAATATTTACTGAGTATTTATTATGTGCTAAACATGGTGTAAATAGTTGACATTTGTTACTTAATCATAAAAGCTCTAATAAGTTATTATTAGTATTATAACTAATATTAGCAACTGCAACTAATATTACAAATGAAATGTAAAATCAACTTAGCGTAGTTCTTTGTTCATAGTATATGCTCAATAGACACCTGCTGCATTTACCAATGGCTACCATAATAGGAAAGAATTGATTCAGCCACTCTTTATAACTCCAATACCTCCTTTTTCATCCAATCCTCAAGAAGCTCACAATCCAACAGGGACTGCAGTTAACTGGACTTAGATCTATTCTTATTTATCCTCATCATCCCCAAACTAGAAAAGACCTTCTTCAGAGTAGGTATTTTATAAGTATGTATTGAATTTACATTTAATAGTAGAAACATAGTTTGTAAAAAGAGCCAAGATTTATCTTAGCACTAAATTCTAAGAGAAACCATATCAGTAGGTTTTTCCACAATGGACATCATCTGACCAAATATATTCTTCAACAGTGATATTATAAATGATGGCATCTGAATTTTAAATGCCTTTTTAATACTTATAATAATAATAAATGTTAAATTATTTACAATCAGAGCTGAATTATCTTAATTATAATAAGAGCTGAAGACTTGATATAAAGTTAAAATTCAGTCAAGGCAGTTCTGCCAGGTGCTATTTTCAGTATGCTGCTTGGTATTGATTTGATCTGGAACAGGAATAGAGCTGAAAAAACTTGCTGGAGGGGATGGTTGAAGTTCCATTCATTCTTTCATTCAATATTTCTAAAACTATTCAGAGAACAAATAAGAAATGTATATAATTTATAATATAAGAGAGAAGGTACAGTCACATGTTACATGACCAGGCAATTATATTAATGTGATATGGACTGTCAGAGGAGAAGTTCAGAGTATGGTAAACCACATTACCCCTAATTTGGAAAGAAATAACAAGTGAGCTGAAAAGTATAGAATGAGTAGGAGCAAACCAAGGGGACAGGAGAGAAAAAAGTTTGAGGCAAAGGGGACTGAATTGTGCAAAAAGCTCAGAGTCAAAAGAAAACACATGGTACGACTGGGAAATGAAAAAAGAAAAAAGAAAAAAAAAAAAAAGCCCAAATTGGTGGGGTGGAGCGGAATTGTCAAGGAAAGAGAGTAGTTTGCAGAGAACAAGACCATGAAGGGCCCCATTAAAAAGTTTCAACTTTGTCCTAACATAATGGGAGCTTTGAAATGGGAAGTTTTATGCCTGACGACCATGACACCTTTGCATTTTTGCATGATCACTCTAGCTCAAGAATATTATCATAATGCGTAGAATGGACACTACTGTCAAAACTGGAGGCAGGGTCCAGCTAGTGTGACTCAGTGGTTGAATGAACCGCTGAAGTCATTCAGGAGGTCATGGTTTGATTCCCAGCCAGGGCACATACCTGGGCTAGGGGCCTGATCCCCAGTAGGGTGTGCAGGAGGCAGCTGATCAATGATTCTCTCTCATCATTGATATTTCTATCTCTTTCTTCCTCTTCAGAATCAATAATAATAATAATAATAATAATAATAATAATAAATACTGGAGGCAGGAGACCAGTTAGAAAATGTTCTAGTAATCCAAAGAATAGGTCACAGTAGCTTTAACTTGGGTAATGATAGTGGGAATTCAGACTGTTAGAATTCATTTGAGATAAACTTAATAGCTTCAAAGCAACAAGGCTTACTGATATTCGCTTGGAGAAAGTGAGAGAGAGAGATGCCTAGAATGACTCCCAGATTTCTGAGATGAAACACCTGGGTGGATGGTGGGAGTGTCCACTGTTAAAAAAAAAAAATGATGAAGGAGGCACTGGTGTGGGGGTGATATGATAACTTTAGTTTTGGACATACCCATGGGACATTCAAGTGAAAATGTCTAGCAGAAGTAATAGATTCTTTTCACTTAGACACAACAATTCTTTTCATAAGAATGGAATAATAATCATTGAATGCAGAGTTCTGTTTAGTGCACTTAGGACTAGTTGTGTTGTTGATTGAAATAAGATTCACATGCTTTTAACACCAGACAGTGTGCATACTCAGGAGTTGAAATCCTGCTATGGCAGTTACAGAGCCTGAAATGTTTTCCTTCCCAGACTAAACCCCATAATGCACTGTTTCTCCCCAAAGAACCATTTGGTATCTGAAGTGCTGGGTCAAGAATCTAAAATTCTGTGACAAAAACATGGAAGATCAATTGCGAATTGATCACTTTGTCTATGGATAGCATATCTTAGGCTGCATGACAAGAGGGAGCTGTTCTGAGATACTGACAATGATCTTTGAAGAATTTAGTACTTCCTTCCTTACATTATTTAAAAACTTCTTCCAAAGCAACACCTAAGGAATGACAGCAACTTTTGTTGAAAGATTAATTCCTAAGCCCATAAAATGTCAGTGCAGGAATTGTTTCACAACAATAGGGTGTTTATATGATCCAGACAACTGCCTAAATTTTTAAATGTATATATAAATCATGTGATATTTATTTTAATATAAAATTTAAAAATATGTAATCAGTACTGAAAATATATATTAATAGGTTTTAGACTAGCTCAAGTGACTTTGGTAACACTATATGTATACATATATAACTCAGTTAAACATCTGGTATCTAATGGTAAAAAGACTATTTAGAATTAAACATGATGATACTTGATTTAATTCATACTGACCTTTTAACTGTCTCATTTTGTGTTTCATGGTGTCTAAGTCAGCCAAAATTTTGTCCTTTTTTTGCCAGTTCTGTTTTTCTAATTTTTTTGCTTTCTGCAAAGCTAGAGTAATAAAAATACAAGATATTTTATTTTGCATTCTTTTACCAACAGTAATTTATCATGCAAGCCAATAATTTATAAAGAACTTTCTGCTCCAAGAAATAGATTCAATTAGAAAGAAGTAATTAAAAGGTAAGGGTCATTAAAAGAAACCTCATTTGAAAGATGACAGGGCTTAAGGCATTTCTTTATGGAATGCAGGGGGAGAAAGAGAAGAACAGTGCTGTTTTATTATATAGATTTACCATATGCAATAGCCATATTTCATTTTCCACTTCCACAAACTATTTGGAGGTGATGAAAGCCTGGCTTGGAACCACTCATTTTTTAAACATCCACCTACTGCCTAAAGGGTGCAATTCTTAAAAATGAAAATGTGCAGACAGGTCGTCTTCAGTGTGAATTAAACTCATTTGTTATTTTCTAATGTACACCATTATTCTCAGTCTTCACAGACCAAGGATCTCTTTATCAACTAAATTAGACATTTTTCCATGCAGCATACTCCATTCCATTAAGAAAAAACAGGCAATTGTGCAAATATAGGAATATAGCTATCCTTGTGCACATGTTAATTGATAGATCCCTGTTCTTTGCATAAATTTGATGTTATGCTGACATTATACACATTTAATTCATTTTCTTATAAATTTATTTATCCTTTCCTTCATGCACTTACTTGGAAGAAAGCAAAAACAAAAAAAAACCCCTTACCATTGGGAGAGAAAAATGGTTCCCCACAAGATACCCAGATGGCAATGGGGCTTCTGTGAAGGAGGGTGAACAAAGACTCATCTATACCATCCAAACCATCGGATGTCACAGATGTTGGAAATAACTTGTTTTTCACTTTCAGTCTTGGGTTTTCTGGGAAACAAATGACATTTTACCATTGTTCAATGAATAATGAGTAAATCTGCTTACTAAATTAATTTGTTTATTCAAAATATTTCATTTTTCATTAATGACTTGATTCAAGTGGGCAATACCAAAACTGATGCTAATATATAAATTTGATCAGAACTTCACAGAAGCCAAATAATTTATACTAATCTGATTATAGCTATGCATTTTGATTCCTACTTCTGAAGGGAATTTGAGGTGGCTTACCAACACATTTACTCTGAAAAGGGATAACACAAAGAGATTGAAAAACCAAGGAAGGGGGGAAAGGAGTATAGGAATCGATTAGAGCCAGAGATAATTGCTGTAGTGTCCTCATCTTATAAACAAATAATAATGTCTATCTCACTTTGCTGTTGGAAAGATTAAAAGAAAAAAAAAAGGAAAGTACATAGAATAGTGTTTGGTCTATTTAATTGGGCAAGCATCCAAAAAATTCCAATATTTTTATTATTAAATGTACATGAATACACACTGTTTTATTTGCTAGAGGTAAAGCACAATTTAGGCTCTGAGCATCCTAGTGGTCAAAGCAAAATGGAAAACACAATTTCAAGATTTGCAAAGCCCACAAAAAGAAAGAAATTCTTCAGAAGATATACATCTCCTGGTCCTGAGGTCTGAGCGAAGCAATTCCATGGTTTTTAATACAGAAGTTACTTGTGATATAGCAAACAATATCCTACAATAGAAATTAACATAGATTGAGAATCTAATATGTGCTGGGCATTTTACTAAGACATCTACATACATCTTCTCATGTAATTTTCAAAATGATGCTCTGAGGTAGGTTCCTGCCTATTTTACAGAAAAGGTTACTGAGATTTAGTCACATAACTAGGTGGGGGCAGAGACAGGATTAGAATCTAGGCCATCTGCCCCCAGAGCCTATGCCTTTAACCACTGCCTCTATTGTAAGCATGATGCTGAGTTTCTGATAGATGCCTATTTCTCTCAAGTTCTTAAATTCAAACTGATGGCATAACACCAAACCACAATTCAACTCAGGGGGGCAGCTGCTAATGGGCCTGCCTGATTCAAGGATAACCTTTAGAATACAAAGGGGAAGGGATGGCCATGCCTTTTTGTTAGTCCTGCATGAAAAACAGGTTTTAAATAAAAAGAGTGAGAGTATAATCTTCCAGAACATGGAAATCAAATATTCCATATGCTAAAAAAGGCGGAACTATACACTTTAGTGATCAGCTAAGCATTAACTCATTAGAAAACAAAACCATATCATTGTGAAATAATAGAAACTATATAGTAGTATATTGGTCTCTATCCTTGGTTCCTGGCACACAGCTCCTGAAATTCTTCTGATTTTCTAAGTGATAAAAGCACTAGGGGCATCTTCTGTTCTAATGTTTAGTCTTTGACCCAGGTTCCTGGCACAGCTCCTAAGTCCTTTGGAATTTCCTGGGTGATGGCAGTGTCTTTTGCTCTGAGATGACTCTTGGTGGGCTCCCAGATGGAGCTGGTCACCAGAAAGACCAAGCCATGATTACAAAGATGTAAACAGATAATTATAATCAACTAGAGGCCCAGTGCATGAATTTGTGCATGGGTGGCATCCCTCTATCTGGCCTGTGGTTGGGGCTGATCGGGGTCCATCTTGCCCAGTCCCGATCGGGCCAATCAGGGCCAGGAATTGGGGCCGATTGGGGCTGGCCGGCAGGGGGAGGGACCGCAGGAGGTTGGCTGGCCATGGGAGGTTGGCTGTGGGAGTGCACTGACCACCAGGGGGAAGCTCCTGCATTGAGCATCTTCCCCCTGGTGGTTAGTGCGCGTCATAGCTACTGGCCAGTCATCCAGTCATCCGGTTGTCCAGTGGTCTGGTCCTAAAGGTCACTTAGGCTTTTATATATACAGATACGCTAGGAGCTGCAATAGAGGCACATTTTCTGGACCTTCTGAGAGTTTATAGGAGCAGTGGAGATGGGCAGGGGCAAGCAAAGGAACTTGGAAGGCAGAAGGTAAGGACACCTTTGCTTCAAATCTTAGGAAGAAATTTGCATTGATCCAGCCCCACTCTCTCAAGTGGTCTCCAATTGGTTTGGGTTCTGAATTTAAGAACAAAAGCTGCTGAAGTTGCATAAAGTAGCTAAGCTGTCAAACACATTTTATAAATTCTAGGCAATTTATTTATTGTTTTAGTGATAGAGTGAAAGAATCAACATTTACTTTTTTTCTGACCAAACATAGCAGAATCAGCTCAGCCTTGTAGAATGTAACCAACCATACGTTTAATAGTTGTCTCCTTTGTTCCAATGGGGGCTGCCTCTTTCTTTTGTTCCTCAGGGTCTCTGTGGATAAATGATTTATCTAGAGCCCATAAAACCAGTTCACGCAGGGAAAGGATTGTGGTTCCATCTTTAGTATATACTTTGGAGGCTGCTCGGGCAAGACCAAGCTGTTCCGTGCATTCTGTAAGAAGCTAGATAACATGGACTGTAAGTGATGGGGGTAGAAATAGAATGTTGGAGAACCAGCTAGAAATGTTAGAAATATTAATCATGCTTTGTTAACTATGATTGTTTTGTCCTGATTAAAGAAGGCACATTCTAACCTGGCTGGCAGTTACACACCTGGAAATGCAGCCCATCTTCCCCATTTGGAGCTGCCTAATATCATGGAAAGATTAACAAATTCATTGCAGAAACCAGAATCACCAGAATCACCAGCTCTTTGAAGACCCCAGCCCTTTTGCATACCTGTGGGCCTTTGCAAATCTCCAGCCTTCTTATCTGTTAACTGCCCATTTGGCATACCTTTTGGCTATTTCCCCATTTAATTTTTGTCCCTTTACCCAATATAAGCAGCTGGCTTATGGTGGGGTGCAGAGCAGATTTTTGTGGATGACCTGCTGCTCTCCCATACTGCTGGCAGTATTGGAATAAATGCTCGTAATGATTCACCCTGTCTCTGCTTAATTGGCTAAAGTAGTGACAAGCAGCACGGACCCATTGTTTGTCCAGTTACATAAGGAACTGAGAGGAAACAGTGACAGAACTGGGAATGATCATGAAGAGCTTGTTATCTTAGAAATCGAAGAAAATCCTTTAATTTGAGAAAATAGAAAGCTGAATAACTGCCTATTTGATCTTTGATTAGAAACACTTTTTGATATTAGGTTGTTCTACTTAATTTCATACAGCATGAGTCCAGTTTAGCTGTGAAAAGTCATAGCTCCAAAAATTTAAAACGGTAGCTGATGTGTTTCCTTAGAGTATTTCCTTAAAAAATGTTTAACCTAAAAATCCACTTTCAATTTTGTTGCTTTATAAGGTCTGATATTGCTATAGTCATCTTGATAAACTGTTTAAAATACATGAGTAGATGACTTTTAAACCAAAAGCTGACGCATATTATTACTTCCACTTTGCAGATGGGAAAACAGGCTAAAAGAATAATTTTTGCCAAAGATCACAAAAGCCAGCTGTGGGTCCCAGGATGAATCCTGGAGTTTCTAACTTTTGTACTTGGCTTATTTCATTGAACAACAATACCTTAGTTTAAAAATTCTATTTGTATTCAACCAAAGAGGTGAGTTAACAAGGGTGTGTGTGTGTGAGTGTTTGCAAGGAAGTCTCCAGGATAACTTTATGTCATATATAACATTACTTGTAAATTATGTCATTAAGGGTATTGACAAGATCATCCCCAAACATAGGACAAAACTGGGTGTAGCCTTTGGGGTTCTCTTCCTTTTCTGTTGACTACAGGGGACAGCCGCTAAGACAGGAACCACACAGGCCCTGTCAGCACAACCCCGGCTTCTTCGATTTGAAAATCAGATGAATCAAATTATTTATAAACAAATAAGTGCTCAGATTCTGCAGTGATAAAGGAGGTGGCATCTTCTAAAATATGCAGATGACATACAACTTGAAGTTGGAATGGGAAGGAAGGCAGAGAAGGTGCTGTGTCTATCACAAAAATGAAGAAAATCTGGTAGCTTTGTTTTCCCTTTGCTTTTATGTATCATTGCTCTGGACCCAATCTAAAAACCATCTTCTGCTTTCTCATTTTCCTAAGAAATACAATCAAAAAGAAAATCTTTACGAAAACAGAGATCTTGATCTTATCAGCATAAATTGGTGAGACTGGCCAGGGACATTTATCACTCAATTCCACTGCTGTTTTCTTGTCAGAAGAATCACCATTATCATTACTTCCGAGGATGCAAGAAGCAGTTAAGTGAGAGCCACTTACTATGGGGAATGTTTCAGCCACAATTAACTTCCCATTTCGATATCCATCTCCATTTTTGTATGCAATTATTTTCACCGGCTTCTGGAGTGCAGCTGCCGTACCAATAGGAGCTACAACTTGTGTGCAGGTCTTCATCCGTAAAGATAATAGATGTTCTTCATAATGACTTAGAGTTTTTTCAGCCTCATAAGAAGATAAGTCAACCTGATTTAAAAAAAAAAAAAAAAAAAAAAACCATAGGTCTACTCAAGCTTTCTTCTTCTTCTTCACAGTTTTGTCATTCCGGTATACTCTAGTCTCTCAATTTGATAAATATGTGCATGTACATATGTGTGGCATCTACATTTTGAAATGCTCACTCCACATGCTACCAGTATTGGATGCTGTGGTGGGATGGATATCAGGTCAGAACTCATTCTCTTCCCAGCCTGCTGCTGAGTCTTGGGTGAGGTTGGGGCTCTGGCTGTGTTCCTAGCCTCCTCCTGTTTTCTACTTTCCTTCTCTTATGACAGCAGATGGGGAAGGAAGCCAGGGCCAGGGAGAGCTTGGGGCTGAAGTAAGGGGTCACTCACAGTACACATGTTCTCTTAATCTTTAGCGTTAGGATGATGCCCTCCTCTGGTGGCAGTACTGATGAACGAGGAGTGGATGAGCGTGGCCTTCACCACACGGTAACGAGGGTATGAACACCACACTTCACCTTTCCCTGTCCAGCCCTGTACAGGATGCTGCCCCATGGGAAAAGCCCTGTCTGAGATGATGGGACACTGGGCGGGCTTTCCAATCAGCTCACTGCCACCTCCTAACCCGTGGTTGGCAAACTGCGGCTCACGAGCCACATGCGGCTCTTTGGCCCCTTGAGTGTGGCTCTTCCTAAGCCTTAGGAGTACCCTAATTAAGTTAATAACAATGTACCTACCTATATAGTTTAAAATATTTGGCTCTCAAAAGAAATTTCAATCGTTGTACTGTTGATATTTGGCTCTGTTGACTAATGAGTTTGCTGACCACTGTCCTAAACACTCTCCCTCAAGCAGAGGCCAATGACTTCCCCAGAGGACTGACTTCCTTTCTCCCTCAGAGTTATTGTTTCAGCTGATATGTATGTAACTGTTACTATCCCCTTCTCATCCTCTCCCCACAATGTGTATCAGGTCTGGGAATGGGCAGCAAGCCTTGATGAGCACACCAGGCCCAAAGGTTGCCCACCTCTTAGGAACGGCTCCTTTTTATACAGCGGGTTAAGTTCCCCTTAGCTCTTCTCATGTCTAAACTTGAAAGAAAGGCTTTTTTAAATGGTGCCATTTTAAATTAAGATCACAGGAAAGTGGCAGAGGTTTTTCTCTCCATAAGCTATAAATAATATTAGACATGGGTGCGTGAATTCAGGCCCCCAACCTGAAGAGTCATTGACAACGACATATCAAATTCTCCCCGAAATGCTGCATCTTGTAAAAAGGACTTTACCCCGTGGATATAGGCAAAAAAGCTGCTCCACTAAGTGAAGATTCGCAGTGATTTCCTCATCTAAAAGCAACACAGAGAGCAGTGGAAGGTGTCAGTAGATGATTAAAGCCGCAGAAGTGCCCAATTAACTTCAAAGAGTGTATCGAACTATTAATAGACAATGTATTTTAAATTACAATGGGAAAGAAAAAATCAATGCAGGTGAAATGGTAAAGGTGCATCAGAGGAAGATGAATTGGACGCTTGGAGATGAACTTGAGTGCAAGGCAGATAATGAGTGCATCAAAGTTTCTAAAGTGATGCCATGTAGGTATTAGCAGAGCTCAGATCCTTACACACCTCGGCCACACGGATGGTCTTGAAAGGCCCTCGTGAGAAGGGCCTCTGGGTCTCGGAGCCTGAGGCACAGACGAATGGCAGCCCTGCAGGCAGCTGCTTCAGTCCTTTCTCTCCTCTCAGGGATCGTCCACAGGCCAGGCACAGTGTCATTTTTTTCTTTCCAGAAGGTGTGAGAGAATAGTATCCCTAAAAAGAGGGACAAAGGTGATTTTACATAGAAACACCTAAATTATAGCAGCATTTTTGAAGAACACTTTACAAATAAAGCATTTTTATAATTCCCGAATGAAATCACAACATGAATGTATTATTTTGCTCACTAATAAACACATATTTTTAAAAGAGAACATATTTCCAAACTCTGTTGACTAAAAATGCTTAGAGACAATAACAATTCAACATAATGTGTATAACTTTTGCCCAGAATCAGAGTTTCTTGGAGGAATGGCTACTTCCATATTTGGGGCAAGAAATACACAAAATGAGCAAGGGATATCATGTGGTGCCCAGAAAGAAAAATCATCATGGAATCGTGTCAAAAACATACAGGAGCCAACATAAAGAGTCTCCACAGGCCCAAAGTGGGACAATTTAAAAGCAACAAAAAGAATGATAACTAAAACACAGAATATGTTTGAATATGTAAAAATCCTGTGAGTTCATAATGATGCTAAAAACGACAACAAAAAACCCTAACAAACAACAAAAGCACAACTCATTGGAGTAAGGGAGCACCTGTGGAGTAAAGGAGCACCAATTTATACATCTGATATTTGGCCATTAGAAAATGTGGCTGATTATTTGCAATGATGGCCACAATAAAACTACCTGGACTCAAACCAACCAACCATAAGAAGAATTTTGTAGGAGAACCTGGGAAATATAATTAAGAACAGAGCATTTGAGGAATTATTGTTAATTTTGTTAGATGTGATAATGGCATAATGATTATGTAAGAAAATGTTCAAATTTTTCAGAGGTGCATGCTTATGTTTGAGGTGAAGTGATATCATGTCTGGGGGGTTGTAAATGTTTCTAAAGCCTGATAAGAGTTGAATTTTGATGAGAGGTACCTGAGAATTCATTGTACTAATCTCTCAACTTTGCATATGCATGAAAATGTCCATGATAACATTTTAAAGTACCTTCACATAGACTCTCTAATTGGCTTTGTTCTTCACAAGGCTGAAAGTTACATACAGTCAGAGTTAGTACCACCAGACTCAATGTACTAGTACACAAGATAAAATGGAAGTTCAGAGAGGAAAAGGATACCCAAGTAGCACATGGCAGAGATGAGATATAAAACCGTGACATCTGATTCCAAGCTCTTGGCTGTTCTGCCTTTTCCATTCTGTTCAACCACTCCTTTAAGTACATAGAGCTATCTCAATTCAAAGTCAACATTGACATCATACTTTCAAAGACGTCACTCTCAAATTTCACTATGAATTTCTCTATCAGCACATCTGATTTCCACTTTTCTACAAGTTACTGGAAAGCAGAAAATTAAATATCCCCTCTCGGGTGGAACTTAATGAATATTACATACAGAAAGAATCATTTAGATAGAAAAGCATGGTATTCATGATGAATTGTGTGCCAATTCACTCATTAGCAAGGATCTATAATAATAAAAGGGTAATATGCTAATTAGACCAGATGTCCTTCCGGACAACCTTCAGGAGGAAGTTGGGACTGCGAGGGTCCCAGGTGCCAGAGGAAAGCTGGTGCCAGCAGCTGGGGGAAGGAAGGCCTACTCTTGCACGAATTTCGTGCATCGGGCCTCTAGTATTTCTATAAAGTGAAACTTCTCACCCAATATTTTGTTATCCTGAGGAAATAAAGAAAAAAAAGCTTGATTATTTATTTTCCACTTTTAAAGTAATGAATTTGTTTTCATAGCATCATTTAGTTGTGACCAATGAGTTGTTGCTGCTGTTGCTTAATATCAGTATGGATTTAAATATATCTGATGTATGTCAATCCACTGCACTAATTAGCATATTAATGCTTAAATGGTTCATCTTTGGATAGTGGGAGCCTTTCCAAGTTGACTTGTTTCATTTTAAGACAGTCTTACTACTCTGACAGTGTATCTGCTAACAGGTATGAGTTCACAGACAAAATAGAAAGAGGTACAGGGGACAGCACAGTCAAAACCAGAGAGATGCAAAATCGCATGGTACTCCTGGACATCTCTCATTCAGTGGAGCTAGAAAATGATAAGTGAGGAAGGAGCAGCAGGCCCTAGCTGGTTTTGCTCAGTGGACAGAGTGTCAGCCTGCGGACTCAAGGGTCCCAGGATTGATTCCAGTCAGGGCGCATGCTGGGTTGCTGTCTTGATCCCCAGTAGGAGGTATGCAGGAGGTAGCTGGTCAATGATTCTTTCTCATCATTGATGTGTCTATCTCTCCCTCTCCCTTCCTCTCTGAAATCAATAAAAATATATTATTTTTAAAAAGCAGAAGTCCAAAAAACTAAAAATGGAACTCCCATTTGAACCTGTGATCCCACTTCTAAGAATATATCCCAAGAAACCAGAAACACCAATCAGAAAGGATATATGCACCCATATGTTCATAGCAGCACAATTCACCATAGCTGTGAAACAGCCCAAGTGCCCATCAGTAGATGAATGGATTAGAAAACTGTGGTACATCTACACGATGGAATACTATGCTGCTGTAAAAAGAAAGAACTCTTACCATTTGCAATGGCATGGATGGAACTGGAGAGCATTATGCTAAGTGAAATAAGCCAGTCAATGAAGGAAAAATACCACATGATCTCACTCACTCATGGATAATAAAGACCATTATAAACTTATGAACAAAAATAGATACAGAGGCAGAGCTGCCTCGAACAGACTGTCAAACTACAGCGGGAAAGCTGGGGAGGGTTGAGGGGTGGGAAGGGGGGGGAGGTAAGAGATCAACTGAAGGACTTGTATGCATGCATATAAGCATAACCAATGGACATAAGACACTGGGGGGTAGGGGAGGCCAGGGGATTGTTAAGGGCGGGAAAAAAAGGAGACATATGTAATACTCTTTGTAATGCTTTAAGCAATAAAACAATTTTAAAAAAAGCAGCAGCAGCAGTTTCGAGACATCTAAGAAGCAGAGTAAAGAGGGTCGTGGAGGGTCTTATAGGTGCCTTATGAGATTTCAGGTATGCCAATGGTCAGCAACAACATCAAGGCAGCTTGACTCACTGACCCACAATATCTTAGATATTTGTAAAGCACAGTGCAAGTAATTCCTTACTAATAAAAATTAAAGGACCAAACTTGATAAATTATTTTCTTTACAAATTAGAATGTATTGAATGCATAGGCCCATGCTTGGTATAGTGTAATATAGTTAAAGTCACTTACACTCATTTGCATGTTAGGATGCTTTATGGAGTAGAGTGACATCTGGTGTGGCAGGCACACCTGTGGAGGGTAGTATGTGTGATTGTCCTCCCTCATGTGTGTTCTGGTGAACTGATGATGAACCAAAGATGGTGCTGGTGATAGGGAGCCATCAGAACCATATAAGTAGGGAGTAATATCAATATTCCCTCATTCTTTCCCACCCAGAATCCCTGAGTTCATTTACAAATCAGTGCTCAATTTATGTGACCATAAGTTTTCTATAAAGATAATTTCTGGCTTTATTAAATTACTCCCTCTCCCCCTTTTTATTTTATCCTCAGTAGGAAGGAACCACTTACTGGTTGATCAATGTTTTCTTCTTTAACTACAGAGGATGTACAAATTCCAGCATAATTTGCGGCTGTGATTTCCTTATCCAATGCAGTGCTATGGAAGGCCATAAAAGTTTTCTTATTTTCAATGTAATTCCACTTTTGATTGGAAGTCCCATTGTTATAGGGCTTATATTTCTGGGGGGAAAAAAAGACAAAATCTGGAATCAAATGGAAGAGTTTATGATTTGGCTATGGCAGCCATAGTTTTCATTGCATAAATTCAGAAAGTACAGATAGTTACTCATTCTGCTATGTAGTTGTAACTACATATTTGATTATTACATACTACATATCTGATATTTGATTATTATAAACATCTATATATATAAAAGGCTAAGTGACCATCCGACCGGTTGCTATGATGCATACTGACCACTTGGGGGCAGACACTCAATGCAGGAGCTGCCGAGCTGCAGTGACTTGGCAGCTGTGGTGACTCGGCAGTGGTGGTTCTCAGATAATGCACCCCAGAACCAGAGAGGTGGGAAACCAATTCTGAAGTGCGTCACCTGAGAACAGCCCTCTCACAATCCGGGACCCCTCAGGGGATGTCGGAGAGCCAGTTTCGGCCCAATCCCTGCAGGCCAGGCTGAGGGACCCCGCCTGCTGGAGGGACCCTGATCACTTGGCAGATGCCCTTTGAACCATGGCATTGTCCCAGGTGCAGCTGGTGGGAAGGGACCGCAGGAGGTTGGCTCCAGGGTGTGTCCAGCTCTGCTGGCCACTTTCTAATTAATTTCCTTTCAATGTGCATGAATCTGTGCACTGGGGCACTAGTATATTTATAAATATGCATTCTTTAATTTATAAAAATAGGATCACAAAATATATACAATTTGATAACTGCATTAGGTTTGTTTTGTTTTTGTTTTTACTTAACAATATTCCAGGACTCTTTTTTTTTTTTTTTAACATTTTTTAAGGATATATATACTATTTGCTTTTAGGGATATTTTATTTTACCACTTTCTAAAAATTAAACATGTAGATTCTCAAGTTTTCCTTACTGTAAGCAAAAAAAGCAATAAAGAATTATACAGATAAATCCTTGTGTAAATCTAAAACTTCTTTAAAACAAACTTCTCAGGTAGAATTGTAAATAAAAGAACACAATCACTTTTAAATATTGAACTTTATCACAGCCAATAATTTCCGGAAAGGTTATTGTAGTTACAAGTCCACCAATAGTATAAGAAATGGCCTGTTTTCCTCACACTCTTGCCAAAACATCTTCAACTTAGTAAATGAAAAGTAATACCTTGCTGATATCTTAATTTACATTTCACTGGTCATCAAGGAGGATTTTTTAAAATGTGAATGCACTCAGCTTTATATGTAATGGAAATAGCATACTTGTTTAAATTATATAACTTGGTTCAAGCATAAGTAAAGAAATAAGTTGTTTCCATTTAAGAGAAATTAAACCAGATTAGTTCCAACTAAACATATGACACCTAGAGGAACTTTATAATGAATAACACTTACTTTATCAAGGAGAGATTGATAGTAAAGAGGAAAATAAATGAACCTTAGGAATGGATTTAATAGGTCAGATAACAGGGCATCCCTCAGAGGTATGAAAAATAAAGACTATATTTCAAGGAACAGGGAGGGGGGGCCTAGTAAGATTAACCTAACATGCCTCATTTTTATTTATTTACTTGAACTTTAATATTTTACCACAAACTGATTGCTTCAAGAAATAAAAATGAAACACCAGCAACAACAACAAAAAATCTTGAAAATCAATACAAATTATCTTGGTATCAAACTCATTTCTTATAAAATGGAAACCTTAAGGGAAACATCCATTTCTATAATTTTATGAAACTGATTAAGGGACTAAATTTGCATCTGCATGAGGTTTTTATCTTGCTGCCAAAGAGGCACCTGACAGGGAGGAATGTGATGCTATATATACTGTGTCTCCTAGAACAAATTTTAAGCCCATATTTATCATCAGGATAGAAGACTTAATTAAGCTTTGATATTTGTCCAGATTGCTTTGTCCCAACTTTGGATTCATCGCTATTAAAAACATGGGATAAAAGAAATGTTACTTGGAGACAATATATTCTGTTCACCAAAAAGAAGGTAAAGATTGTGGAGGATACAGAAAGTAAATTCAGAGCAGGGAGGCTCCTAAACTTTCTTCCCTCCTAACAAGAAAAACACACATAAACACATATTTATTTAGGAGTGTCTTTGATTATAAATAAGTAAATGAGGAAAACATACAAACATGAACAAAAACAACAAAAAAGACCTGCCCAGGTGTTTGCCCAAAATGTAAATGAAGCTAGACTTCTTTGGAGTCTCAAAAAATTGTTTGGCTGCTATAAATATTTGTAAAAAGCATGTTAAAAGTGTCATTAGAATTAACACTGTTGAGCTCACATCCTTCAGGAAGAGCCTTCTGACCATGTTCTTTCACTCTAGTTGCCAATGAACTTAAAACACATGGAGCATCTAGCAGCCACTCCACTGACTGTACCCACCACTGAGACTGCAAGCTATGTGAATGCTGCTGGGACAATTGCTCGTGCTTGCCATTGGAATTGATTTAAGTAGAAAGCATAGCTCCTGACATACAGCAAGCCCACAACCACCATCTGTTGGATAAAACTAAATTAAGAGCTACATGAACATGTTCAATTTGAAATCTAAGCAGACGGTTGTAAATATTTTAGCAATAGCATTCAAGATAGAATTCTGTGACATCCAATTTCTTTCTCCACACCAAGGACGCATGGAGCTTTACTTGTATTTAACTAAATAAAGGGCCATGATTACTCTTTAGTATATATATATATCTTACCTGAACAATAACTGGATAGCTGCAGACTTCATTCCCCGTCTTGGTCATAGACACAGCCAGCACAAGCTCTGGGTTCCTCACCAGGTGAAAGGTCCTTGGGAAAACAGGATTAGGCACATTACACAGCAGCATGACCAGCTTAGAGCTCCCTCTGTGCCACTTATTGGTGTGTTACTTCTTGTCTCCATAATGGATGTGCATCCTCTAAGTGTTTCTCCCATTTTACTAGTACAGCAGGCACGATGTTAAGGGTTCTCACAGAGAGTGCTGGAAGAGCACTGCAGGAAGAAGGGGCTCCTCTTTCTGGCTGTGTATGGCGTCCCTAATTGAGAGTGGGATATCCAGTGATGCTCTTCCCCAACCAGGTGCCCAGAATGCGTGGTCCCTCGGCACCTTCCCAGCCCTGACCTGGCCTTATGATCGCCTGCTTGAGGCTCTCCTGACACAGATCCTGCACGCTCCAGGCCTTCTGCCACGCCAGCACCCTCACTCCCTTTACATGCCCATGTGCCCAGCAACCAGTTACACCCCCATTTATATTCCAGAGGGCTGCTTGCTGCTTGCCCTGCAGCCAAAGACAAAGTCTGGCCAGGCAAACCAGCACCTTTCTTTGCCAGCCAGTGGGCTGCAACCATACCTTTCGAATGGGTTTTGAACTCTAGCCTTGGGGAGGGGCCCAAGTCCAAGTCTGTCCTTTCTTGCATACTCTCCCTCAGCCTTACAGTATCATATAGAATGTATGTTTGTTTAAATATCCAATAATTACTCTGTTATCATTGTTTAATAATCAATTATGTTAAACTTCTCCTGTTTAAATCACTGTACGGTTTCTGCCTCCAGATTGTACCCAGACTGCTATTCTCTCCTCCCCCATTTAGTTGCTATGGGAGGCAGTGTATCAGAGTGGGAGCCACAGTGCCTAAGTTTGAGTCCTGGGTCCACCTGTCAGTAGCTCCACAGCTCTGCCTAACAACTCTGCCTCAGTATGCTCATCAGTAAAATGGGGTAATACCTCATCAGATGATTATGGGAATTAAATGAGTTAATGCATATGAAATGCAATGAATATTGTCTGTTGCATAGTACTCGTATTAGTGACTCTTACTAATGGTTGTGATTTTTTTTTATAGATTTCCCTCAATTATTTTTTTCTAAAGGAGCTTTCCCTAAAAGTCCAAGGTATGTGGTGAATATTTTTATGTGATCTTATTGGAACTAACATAAGGCCACCCTCGAGTGGAAAACAAAATGAAAATTATTGAGCTAAAACCTTCAAATTCTTTTCCTTGCATCACTTAAAAGCAAAAGTAAACCGAACATTTTAGGCTCTTGTCTGTATGGAAAGAGCCAATTCTTTCCCTCTGTCAACATAGTTACATTATAGATCAATAGTGGCATTTCTGCTGTGGAAAATACAACTCCTCCTGAACATAAAATTTAATGATGTGGGAGTAGAGAAGGGATCTATTATAAAAGTAATATATTTTTCCTTTCAAGACTGAAAAAATTCCAGGTCTCTAATTTAAATCTCTGAACATAGGACAATATATCCTCATTGTAAAAATATACAAAATATTGAAGACTATAGTAAAATTATAACACAATTTTAAACATTACTCTGACTTCTACAAGATAATCACTATTAATCTTACAATGTGTTTCCTCCTTCTATTATTAGTTAATGAAGTATCATTTTAAATCCAAAGTGGATATTCAATTTTATCAAATACCTTCTTAGCTTTTATGAAGATGGTGTACATGGCAAGGGAACTGATATTCTATATTGCTCATCTCTGCAGCCTCAGCATGTTGCGGACTTTGCACCTTGCATTCTTATTGGCATTCAATAGTATGTGAATGAATGAATGAATGAATGAGCATATATTTCTGCAGCAACCTATTGAGATGCCAATATTAGTTACCTAGCTATCTCTGTGTTTTGCTGACTAGAATGACTAGAATAGATATAGCAACTTCCCCAGGCTTCAGTGCCCTGCTCAGCCATCATAGAGTTGGTTTTTCTTTTTCCTTTTGAACAATGCAGCTAACTGGTGCTTGCCCACAGCAGGAATGCTTATATTCTGCAGGAAGCCTGAGCTTGTAGAGCTCTACACAAAACCCCCTGCATGCCAAAGAGCAAGGTGAGAAATCACTCTGTGTCCCAGCAATACCCAGCACAATACCACTGTCTCTTTCATTAACCCATGCTATGAACACATACAAGTCACTTCATCTCCTTGAGCCTCAGTTTACCTAGACTAGTGACTAAGACTAGAAGGTTTTAAAGATTGCTTTGAGCTCCAAATTCCATGATGCTGAATATCCCCCTCTATAACCTTGAGTGCTGTTGAGGGAATTTTCATCCCTGAGGATTTCTTCATATTTTTTCATATTTCCCTTTAGAGACCAAATGATTAACTTGGATTGCGCCAGAGAAAATGGGAGGAAGATGCCAGATTATCTCAAAAGTTGATCTGGACCTTCTTCTGTGGGGCTGAAAACCAAGCAACTGAGACGCTAGCAATTTCCTGTGCCTTTCAGGGTCCCCTTGCTCACTTCTTGCCCTTCCAGCCGAGACGATGTGTTATCCCATCAAGGCCTGAATGAAAGGACTAAAAGTAGACAATTCTTGGCACAGGGATGCCCCTTAGTACCTTCCACAATGTTGGCAGTGAGATACGCTGCCCCCACCCTATTATTCCAAATACTGAAAGGGCAGTTGCCTCCCTAACCGTAAACGTATTGCCTGGGCAAAATAAGGAGGATTAAAAGACTGGTTCACATAAATGAATTTTCTATAGGTTCTGCTACACAGTGCAATCAAGGTTCTCCAGGCCTTACCAGTTAATCAGAACCGATGAATTTCAATACCCAATTAGGCGGGGGGGAAAAACCCAAACACACACAGCAAGATGCCAAGGGGAAATGTGAAAGGAAGAATTACTGTCACTAGGCAGACACACTTCTGCCACAGGACATATATTCCTCTAAATCGTGCCCACAATTAATCATCCAGACTTCTGTGAAACCTCTGTCCAAATGTTTGTGGAGTCTCCAGATGGTGGCCAATGTGCTCATGAGCAAATCCTGTTTCACTGCCCCTCCCCCTCACGGCTCCATCTCTTCTCTCAGACTCTGGAGTTTCCCACCAGAGATCAATCAATACCACCATTTCCCACCAATGGTCCCTCTCTTGTACGGCTTGACATGGGGAGGCCTCGAGAAGGCCAAGTTGTAGAGTGTTTTGGAAAGTGGAAGGACATCGGAAGAGGCTGTTCTCTTTCATGTTACATGTGGTTACATTTTCCAAAGGGGTGCTGATCATAGTCCAGTGTTTCAGAGTTTTAGGCAAACTTCTCTTTTATTTTCACTTAAATAGCCATGCCCTCCTCCTGCTTTCTCTACTGCAATGAAGATGAAAAGTGAAACCAGTGCCAGACACTCAGGAGGACCCAGAAACTGTCCTCTCTTCCAATGAACAAGTGTTCCTGAGTTAAACTCATCATGCTTGGCTTTCTCCTCTCTTGGGTCACATTTCCCATATGTGTTCACCCCAGTTCATCAGCCATGCTTGAATTCCAACTGAGGCTCAAGCAGGACCTGTACTATTAACACAGACAGGCAAGGCAGTAAGGTGCTAAATTCTAGAAATGTAGAGATGGGGCAGTACCAGCTCTGTAGGGGCAGGGATATTTATCTGTTTTGTTCTTAAACCTAAAACACTGCCTGTGAAAAATTCTTTATAGCTGAATGAATGCATTCTGGTTCCATAAAGCCAGCCATTCACAGGGACAAAAACCTGCTTCCTAGCTTCCCATTGCAAAGACAGCTTAGCTAGGCTAGGATGAATGGGGCCAAGGAAAACACTCACCAGGTCCATCTACATGTTGGCTTTTCAGCTTTCTGTAAAACAAGCCCAGCAAGTCTCCCTTGCTGGCAGTTTTGCTCATCTCAGACAGTGAGCAGATTAAGGCTAGCTCCTTTGCGGCACATGCTGGGCCCTCTGCTGCCCCCTGCTGAAGTTTATGCAATCTCTGTCAAAGCAGCAATTCCTAAACCTTTTGCATCACACACCTTTTGAGAATCCAATGAAAATCACAGCTCCTTTCCAGAAAAAAACAACTGTATTGCACAAATACACAAACACAAATTTTATATGGCATTTCAAAAGACTGAAGAGGCCCCTGGAGACCCACCATATAACACTAATGGTAGAGCCTGAAGCAAACCAATCTAAAAACCAAGGAGTTCTTTTCTTTCTTGTTAAGGAAATGTTCAAACATGCACAAAAAAACCAGAGAGAAATGTTGAAGAAACCACCATGGATTCAACAGTGAGCAATATTCTGCCATTCTTGTTTCATCCATTCCCCTCCCAACTTTAAACATTTTTGCTTTTGCTGGAATATTTTAAAGTAAATCTGAGATAGCTCTTAATTTTACCTGTAATACAACAATATATATTCCAGTGATCAGGGTTTTCTTTTTTTTTTATCATAACCCTTATAACACCCAATAAAATTAATAATACTTCCTTCATATTATCGGGCACCCAGACTGCTTTGAATTTCCTCTGATTATCTCAGCAATAACTGTCTGACAGTGTTTGGCTTGAATCTGGATCCAAACAAGGGCCCCCCATCAGATTGGCTTAATATATTTGAATAGGTAAGAATTAGTTTTCACTGTGAGTGGAAGTCATATCAGTTGACTATTTGATGGAAGGACGGGAGGGAAGGCATGTATATGGGGAGGTGCAGGAGATTGAGTTATGAAAAGCAAATTTTAAAAAATGATGTCTTTTTGGAAGTCTTACTTTATTCCTTCAAATCATAAAAATAAAATTAGGTAAGAGTCCAGTTTTCTCTTGACCTCAAAGGCCAGTTAAAGCTATGAACCCAGTAGGTCAGATTTCATGTTTCTTCTCTGAATCAATAGCAAATAAGTTGTGTGTAGACTACTGAGCATTTACATTGGCTCTCGCTCTCTTTCTCTTCCGGGAGTAGGATAAAAATGTATTGGCTATGTTAAATAGAAAATCCAAAGCCCTCAAATATACATGAGCCTGCTCTGTGGGGACCAGGCAAGTCTCCCACTCACTTGTTGATATATTAACCCCCAAATATAATGCGTTCACCTGCTGCCTTCCTTGTGCATCCAGCGCTGATGACCATCATTGGCTTTTTTCTCCACCAAAACCACCTCCATGCCTGAATGCAGGTCTGGACCTCGCACCCCCAGGACTAGCTGAGGAGCCGCATGACTTATGATTTGCCCATCTCTGTATTCAAACTGCTGGTGGCAGAGCTTCTGCAATTTACTCCGCTTTGGAGAATGGCTGAGATAAAAAAAAAAAAATCCCATTATGTGCAGAGAAATACCCCGTGCCCTTGATGTGCTGGAGATGGCAAGTTCTGTCAGCAGGAGACCCGCTGTGAACCAAATTCACTTATAATGGTGAGCCATCACCCTTGGGACAGCAGCAATGCTATTTGCACTACCACACACTGATGTACGAAGTAGAATTCTGAGTTTATTTAGTAACAGAAATAAATGTTTATCTGAGAGAATATGAGAAACTCATCAGCAAAGAAAAAAGACATTCAGTTGAAGAGATAATTTAGTTAAAGTGGAAAAAGAAGTTAGAAAAAAGAAGGCATGTAAAATCAAAACAGAGAAAAATAAAGGAGTTCTGTTTAAACCATGAGTGTTTCTATCCTCTATCTAGACTGCTGGCAAATAGAACATTATTCTCCTAGTTTTTCAATTTTCCCTAACAACTCATACTCATAACAACTCAATATAATATAAAATAATAATATGTGAATAAGTTAATTTAAAGGAATCTCTTACTAAGGCTCTTAAGGGATTAAGTAAGCTTATTAAGCATACTAAATATCACAATGCATTGGCAATTAAATTAATTTATAAACATTTATTAAGACTAGTAGATGTTTATATTAATAGACTAATATAAACATTTATTAGTGTATAGTGCATAGACTAATGCTAAATGTTTAAGTGCCAAAACTATTTAATACATATAAGCTGCTATAATGTTAAGTAAATGTCTAAAGATGATAGGTTGCTGTCATTTCACTGGGCACTGACCAGAAAATAATAAAATTTAAAAAGAAGAAATTGCATTTTACTAATTTCTTAAAGACATCAGGGCATCTTATATGTTAATGCATAAGTTTATTCACACATTTATTCAACAAATATACAAGCTCTGTGCTAACTTCTCAGGAGGCAAAGATGGATAAGCTTTAACAGAAAAGACACACCAGTGAAAATAAATTATATTATTTAGCTAAAGTGTGAAAGACCTTCCCGTCAATACTCGCAAATACTTCAGTCAAAAACATAAGAAAGACAAAAATGTATATGTTGATGTAAATAGCAGCTAACAATAATGCAAATCCTTAGGAATATTCTTGCCCCAAAGTGAGAAAATCTAAGATCAGCTAGAAATCTGTATAACGAATCCATTGGAACTTTTTACCTGTATTTTCTCTGTGGTTCCACATTTTCTAAGAGATCTTCCTGCATCTTCTTTGGAAAACTGTCGCTCTCATCAGAGATATGAGAAGGTTCCTGCCAGGCATACTTGAGAGGCGTGTGACGAGCCTTCATTCGGAGATGGGCTTTTGCATGTGAATCTCTATTGAGGTTCATAAACAAACACAAGTCTAAGAATTCGGATTCATACTACCAGAATTTTCTCTGAGGTGTATTCTGATCGCATCCTGAAGGATACTGACAGATCGTAAATCATATTTCCATAGTGATGCCTAACATTGCAAATCCATATCCTACTAATACATAATTTAGATCTTTTAATATAAAATTGCAAATAACATTCCATTATCACATAATAAACAGCATTCATCTTTGTTAAGTTTACTCAGAAAAAAAATAGAGCATATATTATGTTTCAAAAATTATAAGATTAAGACTATTTAGTAGTTTAAGAAATTCCTAACAGACATGTACGGAGAATCCTTGTACCCGTTCCATAAGTGGGTCATATTTCTGTCTGGAACAGTACAGCTAGATTGTTGGGTTTCATAAAGTTTATTCATTAGACAACGTTAACGGAATCTTAATTAACTTAACTTTTCCACTCAATAGAGGAATCTAGGGAGACTCACATAGTCTTGGCACTAATAGTGCCAGCTTCTGAAAGAGAAAAATGTACTAAAACACCCAGAGTAAATAGGCATCATTGGAGTAACTGTGCCCGCCTTCTCGCTTCTTAAGAAGATGAGCACGGAAGCATAGCCACCACACAGATCTGTACATATCCAGTTCCATGCCACACTGTTCAGGGCACTTTTGCACTCTGTGGAATCACGACACAGCATGAGAACTGCTCATCCGAAAGCAGGATAAATATATAGGCAAAGCAGCAAGCATATTTCAGCACTGTAAATATGCGCATGTGAAAATCAAGCTCTCTGGGATAGGCTGTGACCACCAAGGTCTGGTGGTACTTTGATGTAACTGTAAACAATATCAAATTGCCAAAATCTTCAAGGACAACTCCTGTGTCGGCAGAGCAGACCAGACACTTTTCCAGTGTAACAAAAGTATGACATGTGGATATGAAATTGGTGAGTAATCACGACCTTATTCAGAACTGCAGCACAAGCTGCTTCTCAAATGAAAACTCTCAGTAACTGTTAAAAAACAACAGTGCCATCTTGTGTTGAAAATTAAAAAACACACAACAGCTTTCCCACAAACTCCATTTCTTTGAGGAAAAGAGGGAGGAAGAGGTCATTTTAGTTTTAACACATTTAGTAGTGTGTAAACAATATTCTTCCTCCAAACCCAGATGTTTTGTTTTTAACTTGGAATTTACCTACTAGTATATGCTCTTGGGTTTCCAGACAAATGAAATAGAATCAAGTCAATTTTAAAAACGGTCATTTAAAAATCCATCCGGCTTTATTAATTCATTCGTTTATCCATTCATTCATAAAGCTAATTATTCATTATTAGTTATTCATATCTTTCACTAATATTTATTGAACATTTACTATATGATAGCTGCCGAGTTCTAAGTGTCGGAATATAGTGATAAACAAAACATAATTTATCAGAGTTCATGGAGCTTACATTCTAGTGGAGAGCAGAGAGATAAGAAAATGAATAAATAAACAAAATAAGTGCCAAAGTGGAATAAAACAGAATACTGTGATACAAATTGGTTGGGGCGGGGTCTAGTTTAGGAATGGACTCAGAGAGGGCTCCTCTGAGAGATGATGTTTGAGTTGAGACCTGGACAATGGGGAGGAGTCAGCCACGTGAGGATGTGGAGGGAGAGCATTCCGAGCAGAGAAAAGAACAAATGGAATGTCTCTGAAGCAAGAATATGTTTGTCTCATTTGAGGAACAGAGCCACTGGTGTGACAGGCATGCAGCGAGTAAGGGGAAAGGTGGTATGGGAGGAAGCTTACCAGGAGGGCAGGGCCTGCCTGCAGTGCAGTGAGGAAAAGGGAAGGTGCCCCCACTGCTCCCCCTCCCCCCCCACTGCCACCAACCCAGTGCCAGGCTCTGAAAGCCTTTTCTTCCATAAGGCATCACAGCAGAGATCAGTGCTCCCAAAGTTTCTATTTCACTGTGCTTCTTACCATTTTTACCAGAAGTCTTTACATAGAACCCATCTATCAAAAGGGTTCCTTCCATATTTATGGCCTAGTCTATTGCTTTATGGATGTCCCTTCTTGAGCCATACTACTTCCCAAATAAGTGAAAACTGCCAACCAAACATATCTAAGAAAGTCTAGGGAAATCTTACAGTGACTTTCTAACGTAAGATGATTTAAAATCAACTCATTGAAAAAAGTTCAAAGAACCAATGAAAGTTAGTCTGGAAAAAAGATAACCCGGTGGGCTAATGATGGGGAGCTTTGAATATTTTGAGGACTTTTAAGTAGAAGAGGAATAGGGCATTGCATGGAGATACAGAAGAAATCATAGGATAGAGATAATTTAATTCATTATTTCAGCATTAAAATGGGCTGCCTTGTGAAATAGTGATCTTCCTGTTATTAGGAGTATTCAAGAAGACACTGTATCAAAAGGGCCTGCCTGGACTGTGCAAGAGACTCCTGGATTATGTTTTGAGTGGACTCCATCACTTGTACCTCAAGGACTCCAAGCCTGATGAAATCTATGAATCAGAACACTGTCAGTGTTTGTTCTCAAAGATGTTCTTTTTCTTAGTTTCTCTATTTTTTTTCCAAGTGCAGTCTAATAACTCAGAGGCCAGATGATACATCTTTTAGAAGAAGAATGAAAGGGGCTTTGGGAAGGTTTGTGGTCAGTTTCCAAACCATTGAGTAAGATGACATGTAGGTCAAATCATTCTCTCTGACAAAGGCTTTCTGGTGTCTCTGTTGGTATAGGACATTGGACCAGATGACTCACTCATCAAAATCTGAAGTTTGAACCCTAAAGTAAAAGTTTATCCTATCTAATAAAAGAGAAACATGGTAATTGGTGTACGACCGCTACCCTTCCCATTGGCTAATCAGCAAGATATGCAAATTAACTGCCAGCCAAGATGGCGGCCAGCAGCCAGGCAGCTTGAAACTAACATGAGGCTTGCTTGCTTCAGTGACGGAGGAAACCAACGTTCCCCACCTGCCTTGCCGGCCTCTGAGCCTGCAGTTTAAAAAACATTGTAACAAATATAGAAGCTAAACAAAACCCCAGAAACCTGCTTTCAGCGAGCCGGGATCTTAGAGCTGGAATTGATACAGAGTTTTGATTATAGAACCTAAACAAACCAGATACCTGCTTTCAGCAGCAGATGCCTAAGAGCTGGAGCCTCAGAGCTAAAGCTGGCCCAGAATAAAAAAAGAAAAAAGAAAAAAAGGAGCAGTTGGGAGCTTCAGTCCCAGCCTGAAAACAGCCCTCAGCCCCTCACCCAGACTGGCCAGGCACCCCAGTGGGGACCCCCACCCTGAAGGGTGTGTGACCAGCTGCAAACAGCCATCATCCCCTCACCCAGGCTGGCCAGGCACCCCAGTGGGGACACCCACCCTGATCCAGGACACCCTTCAGGGCAAACCAGCCGGCCCCCACACGTGCACCAGGCCTTTATCCTATATAGTAAAAGGGTAATATGCCTCCCAGCACCGGGATCAGCGGAGCCGCGAGGCCTCCCGGCACCGGGATCAGCGTGACAGAGGGCAGCGCCCAAACCCCCTGATCGCCCTGCAGCTCTGTGTGTGACAGGGGGCAGGCCCACAACCTCCTTATCTGCCCTGCTTTGTTCCTGACAGGGGAAGGCGCCCCAACCCCCTGATCGGCCCTGCTCTGTGCCTGATAGGGGGGAGCTCCCCAACCCCCTGATCGCCCTGCGGCTCTGTGTGTGACAGGGTGTGGCGCCCTAACCCCCCTGCCCCACGGGCCCTGCTCTGTGTGTGATGGGGTAGAGCCATTACCTCCCCATTGGCCCTGCCCTGAGTGTGACAGTGGCGGCACCCCAACCCTCTGATCGGCCCTGCTCTGTGGGTGATAGAGGGCGGCTCCCCAACCCCCTGATCCGCCCTACTCTGTGAGTGACAGGGGGGAGCTCCTCAGCCCCCTGATGGGCCCTGCTCTGTGTGTGACAGGGGGGAGCTCCCCAACCCCCTGATTGGCCCTGCTCTGTGCGTGACAGGGGGTGGCGCCACAACCTCCCCATCGACCCTGCCTTGAGTGTGACAGGGGGTGGTGCCCCAACCCCCCAATCGGCCCTACCCTAAGCGTGACTGAGGGTGGCATCACAACCTCCCAATCCGCCCTGCTCTGTGCATGACAGGGGGCGGTGCCCCAACTCCCCAATCAGCCCTGCTCTGAGCCCGACCAGGGGCTGCACCTAGGGATTGGGCCTGCCCTCTGCCACCCGGGAGCAGGCCTAAGCCAGCAGGTCGTTATCTCCCGAGGGGTCCCAGACTGCAAGAGGGCACAGGCCGGACTGAGGGACCCCCCCCCCCCCAGTGCACAAATTTTTGTGCACCGGGCCTCTAGTATTCTTATAATTAAGGACAGAAACAGTCTTTTTAGACAGTTTATAACAATTAATTTTCACAGTTACTGCAATGGCAATAGATCAACTCTTTGTGGTTTTATGATTTGAAAACTCAATCATTTATTTATTCAATAATGATTAAAGTCAGTTTACCCTGCTCTTCACAAAAGACAGAGATTTTGCCCTAGAGGAATTCCCCGGTTGGTGGTTGTATGGTAAAGGTGTGTGTGTGTGTGTGTGTGTGTGTGTGTGTGTGTGTGTGTGTGTGTGTTAATCTTGCTATCTATGATCATTGCTATAACTTATTTCAATGATGAAAAATTATTCCATGGATGAAGACAGGGCAAGTCAAGACACTGCAGGTGGAGAGAAAGGAATGTGGCTCAGAGCATGCCACGTTCAGGTGACAGCTTGTAGCTGCTGAGCTGGAGGGTGGAGTTCATAGGCAGGAAGAAAAAAAGGTAGAGTGAGGCGGGCATGGGAATGCCAAGGATGGTCAATGAGAGGCCTGGACCAGGGTCTGAAGGGCTCAGGATTCCAGACTAAATATTTTTTCTGTCTGCACAGGTAGCCATTAAAGAATTGTACAAAAAGGATTGTGTTTTAGAAAGATCATTGTCCACAGATAGAACTTCAGGTGAATTGAAAGGAGATGATTGTGGAGATGAGTCCCATCAGAAAGCCATTTCAGAGTCCAGGATGGTAGCTGTACATTAACATGCACCCAACTTGAAGCTACATTAAGCATAGCTGAGGTCCACATTTATGGAAACAAAACATGATGGATTCTTCAAATAAATGTCTGCGATTCTAATATTCTAGCCTTTAAAAAATAGTAGCATTATGCCAAAATGACTGAAAGTAGATCATTGTAGAACAGTGGAGCTGCCAGGAAACCGATTCCATATGAGCTCTTCACCTGACACCCATTTCACACACTTGGCATGGGCTCCCTACTGGGCTCTGTGCTGTTACCAGGCTAATGAGCTGAGTTCAAATACTAAGCAGGCAGCTTTTCTGGCCACACTGATCACTTACAGAGTTTTACTGAGAGCACTTTCCGTTGTTAAAGCATTTTTTTGCATGTGCTCTTCCTCTGGCTCTATAATTTGCTTCTCTTCTCCAGAAGTTGCTACGGGCTTACACACAGCAAGCTTGGCTCCAGACACAATGTCACCTTGGACTTCTAAAACAAGAGCTGAGCAGAAATGCACACATAGCAAGGACAGGTTAGTTCTAATTGCAGAGAACTGGGAATTTGAAAGCACATGCTAAAATACAAATGCAGAAAATGTCCAGCTATTCGGTATAAAGACATCCTAAGAGTAACTGATAATTGCGTTTTAAACGAATACATTGGATTTCACTCAATTTAATTTGTAGATTCTTCCCTCTAAAGATATTCTTAGTCAAAAATATTAACACTAAGTTTTTCCAAAAACAATGAAGTTGTACGTTCTATTTAAATGGACTACATTATCATATATATGTCTCTAAATCATTCTGTAGAGACCCAAACTCTTTAGTGAATGTCCCCAAGGCTTTGAAACACACATGCAAAGCTTACTGTACAGTGTTCAAAATATGCAAGAAGGTAATGTTTTTAATTATATTAATAATTTCCCCTTCTTGCCATTCTATATATAGAACCTTTGTCCTGGTGCCTGAGGCAGCCTTAATGAATGAGGAAGACCATGAGGAGATGAGAAATGCTACAAGAGGACAAGGATTGTTTCGACTTTCAAGCAGAGTATAAGTCAATGGCTGTGAAAGTCAGGATGAACTGTCTTGATTTAAGATCTTTCCAAAGGCCTTCAGCTCCCATTTAGCATATCAAAGGTTTGACCTTTCTCAAGGTTGACCTGAAAAAACAAACAACTGTTTCTGGGCCTGAGGGGAGAAGAGTAAGAAGAGGAGGAAGGCAGAAACCCAGCATGGGGGATCATGTTCCCCTACAGGCTTCACTTCAAGCATCTGAGCTTCACCAAGGAAGTCCTGTGCACACTGCTCATTTTAGGACACTGTAGCAGTTACCCTTGAAGCAGCCTTCAACAAGCCATTTAAATATGAATGTGGAAATGGTTTCTGGGAGGTGCAGCTGTACCCCAGGATTTGCTGACAACCCTACTGGGTGCTTTCCAGAAGAGGTTGCCCAATGAAGGTCAAGGGGTCTTGTAGCAAAGACTTGCAGAGATGACTATCCAGCAACCAGGCTTCCAAGGGCCAGGGGAACCCGAGAAGGGGCTAGGCAGGCAGGAAGCAGCACCCACCCAAAGCATTGTCTAAGCCAAAAGAATGGGACACCATCACCCAGCCATGGGCTTTAGTCAGCAGGGCCCAGAGAGCAAGAGGATCTGCACCCAAATTCTTTCTTCCATCCTAGAGAGGAACTAAAGTGAGACTGGAACTTGCTAAATCTGAAAGTCCCATTCCCGCCCTGAAGGGACTGTTTAATGTATGGGATAAAATTTAAATCTGACTGAAGAGTTGTCTTGTCCTTGATAGGGGTGCGTGAGGCTCACAAAGAAGACCAGTGTGTTAAAGACAAAATAAATTATGTTCTCTTTGCACAACCAAAGTGTAGTGTAAATGAAAATATACAGCTCTGTTAAATACAAAAATTAGTCTAAAGTGTTAAACAGCAAGATGCAGGCATGAAATACACGCTAGTTAAGCAAACTAATTTTTTCTTTTAAAAAAGCACTATCATCAAGTACTTACTTTGGCTGTATACGTTAAGGTAAATAACTCCAGTGCTTACCCTCTGTCTTACGTGTATGGCAGAAGGCTTGAATTTTAGAAATGTCCGATGCTAAATTCCTCAGGAAGAGTTGCTTCTTTTGATGAGCAATGGATAGGTCAGGACTGATCCAATGTTCCCCACATGAAACGTATACCTATTGAAGCAATGAGCCTCTGATCCTAAATGCAACTGCTCACAGCAGCATTATGTGCAGTAGGCAAGACTGAAAACAATCAAGATTTCCTATAATAGGTGAGTAGTTAAATTGTGGCATCATGGAATAATACTCAGCAATGAAAAAGGCACACACTATTGATAAGGGCAACAACTTTGATGAATCTCAAGTTTTGTACTTCATGCTATCTTTGCAACTTCTTGTGAGTCTATAATTATTTCAAAATAAAAAGTGTTTTAAAATAATTTTGAAAAGAAGGAGAAAAGTAGAGAAGGGAGGCAGGGAGGAAGGAGAGCAGGAGGGAAGGAGGAAAGGAGAGAAGGAGGGGTAGGTAGGTGTAAATCAGGGCTTTGCAAAAAAATATGACTGAGACCCAAATCTTGTCTGCTGCCTGTTTTTAAATAAAGTTGTATTGGAACACAGCTATGCCTGTTCATTTACATGCTGCCTGTGGCTGCATTTGTGCTATAATGGCAGAGTTTCGATAGAGACCATGCAGTCTGTAATACATACCATCTGACCCTTTACAGAAAAAGTTTGATGATCACTGATGTAAATGAACTTGCAGTATATGCACCAAAATGTTAATGGGGATATTTCTAGATACTAGATTATGAATGATACTTTTTCATTTTGCTTATATGTATTTCATAAATGGCCTTACATAAATACATATTTCTTTGAAGTAAAAAAAGAGAACTATTTCTATTTGTTGAGAAAGATTCAGTAAGAGAACAAGGGAGCCTAATTCTGCCTGTTTTGAAGCCACTCCCTGATCATCACACACATACTCTGTATGAAGATTCAGATAAAACTCTCAAAATTTTCTTTTTGAACACCAGATTTCTTTTCCCTCTTATGGACATACCTAATCATGTAACTGCTCATGTTTAATCTTCATGTTGGCTATACAGAGCAGTGACAGGTTCATTTCTAGCAAAAATACATACAGGATCTTATAACAATCACCCCTGGCTCCACCTGACCCTCCTATACTTACAGTTCCTTTGCCCTGGTGGCCTCATCTACTTGTATTTAAATTAAATTTATCTACATTAAGTTCCTTCTTAACCAGCACAGTAACTGTAGCAAATTATATCTGTAGCATTAGAATTCAAAACAAGGCCTGCCAGTCTCCAAGAACAACCGACTCCTCTCTCTCACGCTGCCTTGGAGACTGGTCATTGATATTCTGTTTGAGACTTTCTTGAAGGGTCTTCACATTCAGAGCCTGAATTGAGTTCTGATAATATGGTGAGAGCTTGGTTTTCTGTTCAAAGAATTTCAGGTATCAGTCAAGGCAAGTTTTCTTTCCAAATTTGAGACCCCCAATTCCATAAATGGGAACAAAGGCTGGGCTGCTAACGTCCTTCTCAGCCTTCTCCAGCCACCCAAATAGAGTGTGTGAAAGCCTAGATATAATTTTTTTTTCTGAAAAGGTAATATTATCATTAAGTAATAAATCATTAAATGACTACATTTTGAAGGTTCCAAAAAGAGAGAGAGAGAGAGAATCTATTTCCTTTCGAGTAGGACAGAAACCACAAGCAGTTAATAATTTGGTCTTCTCCTTCTTTACAAAATGAGAGCACCCATCTCATAGGGTTGTGATGAGCTTAAATGAACTAATTCATATACGGCCCTGAAAATCATTCCTGACACATAGTAAGCCCTCATCAGTTAGCTATTAGTGTTCGTCTCTGATGGTTGGTGAATTATGATAATTCTGAGGGGGGAAATAAGAGGAAAGAGGGTAAATGTTTGAAGTTTGATATTTTAAGGCATTTTAAATATTATTCATATATTAATAGTTCCAGTTTCTCTTTCATGTCTTTACCAGTTCGTCTCTTTGAAGGTCTTTTACAGAAAAGATTTCCTTTCCCTTTTCATTGAACAACCTCCGAGCTGCAGAAGGTAAATGTAGAACTTCAGTACACCTGCAATAAGTACACAAAAAAATTGACCTTGCATACAGACAGCTTCCAACAGAGAAGAGAGGAAATAAAAAGAATGAAGGGCCTGGATCCTTCATGACAACTCCCTCTACAGCACTGTGTGCATTGAGAGCCGGGGTCTGCAATCCATCAGACCCCATGTGAGTCTCGTTCTCCCTTTCCGAGTTGTGGGACACGGGCAATGGGCATTATTTAAACTCTGTAGGCCCAAACTACTTACTTTCCAAGGTTGTTATGAGGATGACCAGTTGATTTTAAAAAGTGCTTAGTATAGTGTCAATCATGATCAATACACAGGCAAACATATCATTGTTGACTTCTTATTTCTCAATATGCCCCACACTTTCCCATTTTCTTGCTCTTCCTTCTACCTAAATCACCTTCTTTAGCTTTTTCTGTTGAAGTCTACTCTTTCTCCAAAGCCTCCAAAGTCACATTCATTATCAAGCGATTCCTCATCCCCCCTCTCCAGAAGCTATCTCTAGAGCTCTTTAACTTCTTTTGAAATAGAATTTATTTTTATTTTTTCTTTATTGATTAAGGTATTACATATGTGTCCTTATCGCCCCATTGCCCTCCACTCATGCCCTCATCCCTCTGTTGTCTATGTCCATTGGTTAGGCTTATATTCATGCATACAAGTCCTTTGGTTGAAATAGAATTTTGTTTGCTTGGTTAAACATTAAATAGTGATTCCCCCCTTCCCCCCCTCCACCCACCTCCCTGCAAACAAGCACTGGACCAGCTCTGTGGATAGCAAGATAAATGATCAGCTTCCCTGTTCCCTGAGGAGTTCCCTCTCTAGTCAGGGGGAGAGACAGGTCAGCAACTGACGTGTAATATGAAGCACTGGGTGCTATAATGGGCACCTGGCCAGGATCCTGTGAGAACACAAAGGAAACAAGATGAAATTCTCCAGGGAGCCGTGTCTACGAAAGCAGCATTTGGGTTGGGCCTTGACAGATGAATAGGCATTCATCAAGGAGGGTTATGACCTAGAGAAGATAAGTCTTTATATGGCTGGAGCTGAGTATATGGACAGGAGGAGGAGCCAGATAAAGCTGGAAAAGAAAATAGGAACTGATTGAAAGCATTTAGGTTGCCAAATAAGTGAACTTGGCCTCTATTCCATTAACAGCAGGAAGTCATTGAGGGCATCAGAGCAGAGGTGTGGTGTCATCAGATCTGCTTGTTTAGGAAGTTATGTATCAGAAAGGTAAAAGATGAACTGGAGGCTGGAGAGGCTGGAATCTATATAGCCAGCTTAGGTTAGAGGTAAAGAGGCAGAATTGTGGGGAAGAGGAAGTAGAGCTAAAGGAGAGTGAAGGGGCTTTTCCTAAAGAATGCTGTTGAGATGACCCTGCCATCAGAAGAAGGAACGTGAAAGGTTCTTGCTAAATATATTTTACATTAGAATGAACTGTCTGCAGCAAATGAATTTGATTAGAAGTGACTTAATGCTCATCAGGAAGACTTGGATGTACAAAGAATATTTCTCAATTTTATTTCCTTAGATGGGAAGAAGCAATTGAGCAGATAATTAGGCCTCTTCCATTTCTCTGAGAGGTCTTAGAAGGAAATAAGCTAGTGGGAAGTAAATTTCTACTTCTCATGTCACGAGTCTGGAAGCTGATGAACCAATGGGGGTTAAGCTGTGTTTCACATCTGCGGGAGTTGGTGGGATAGGGTTGAAAGGACACAAAATTTGCCTGATTCTCTTTGGGTACTTCCCAAAGACCAACTTCATTCTTTCTACTTTCTCCAAACCAATATCTTTTCGGGTCCAAGCAGCTCCAGCCTGATCTAAGAAGAATTACCGTCATCATCTCTTCTCCGACTCAAATTGTCCCCTAGAAGAATATTTGGACTATCAGAGTATCCTGTTTTAGGACAGCAAGTGGGAGATTAGAAGGTGGTTGGTAAATCTTTCCTTCCTATTTTGAAACCCTAGGTTGTTTTTGTTTTGTTTTGTTTTAAATATATTTTATTGATTTTTTTCAGAGAGGAAGGGAGAGGGATAGAGAGTTAGAAACATCGATGAGAGAGAAACATCGATCAGCTGCCCCCCGCACACCCTCCACTGGGGTTGTGCCCACAACCAAGGCACATGCCCCCGACCGGAATCGAACCTGGGACCCCTCAGTCCTCAGGCCGACGTTCTATCCACTGAACCAAACCGGTCAGGGCTGTTTTGTTTTTTAAAAAAATGTATTTCTATTGATTTCAGAGAGGAAGAGAGAGGGAGAAAGCGATAGAAACATCAATGATGAGAATTATTGATCAGCTGCCACGTGCATGCTCCCTATCAGGGAATTGAGCCTGCAACCTCAGGCTCAATTGGGAATCAAACCGTGACCTCCTGGTTCATAGGTCTACGCTCAACCACTGAGCCACACCTGCCCGGTGAAACCCTAGTTTTAATAGTGCTACATTTTATTGGCTCATGTAGGTGTGTTGGAAAGGTTTGGGATAGGCTGTTTCTGTATTTCTCTAACTAGTTCACTTGTCAACCAATACAAATGGGAAAGGAGAGAAAAAAATGGCTCTTAAGTGGAAGTTAGATTGCTTTGGTTCAAATTCTAGCCCTCTCATGTAACCTTGAAAAAGTTACTGTGCAACCTTGAAAAAGTTACTAAACTTCTTTGAGCCTCATTTGCTCCATTAGTAAAAGACAGCTATAGTAGTTCTTATCTAATAGGGATATTTTACAGATTAAGTGGACCAAGCACTGCAAGCATTTCATGTCTACTCTCTCATTTAATTTTCATTTCTGAGAGACCCATTTCACTGATGAGGAAACTGATCCTGGAGACTAAGTTCCTTGCCCAAGATCAGATAATTGGTAAGTAGGACAGCTAAAATTCAAATCTAAATCTCTCTGGGTCTTTTACTACCTCACATGGCCTTCTGAGAGGATATCATCATGGAATAATCAGATACTAGATCTATAAAGAGAGTAGATAGGCTGGGCTGCCCAGCAAGCATGCCAGGATTTCTCTGTTACATGCAGGCAAAGGCCCTAGGAATAAAGTCCTTTGACTCTCACACCAGGAGCTAGGATGGGTAATCACATAGCCTGCTTGGATTTACAGAGTCCAGAAAAGTAGAGTCTTTTCTCTTCACTTTGCTTTCTCAAACTGAATGGGATGAGGAGCATCAGATGCCCTGAGAGCAAAGGGCAGGAGGAGAAGGTAGGAACTATGTCTCCAGTTCCACAATAGTGAAGACTTCCTCCAATCACTTGTGAGGATTCCCTCCAGGAGCCCCACCTATTCTCCCTGTTATTTAAAACAATAACAAAATATTCAGAAAGCTGAGAGTATGAGTTTTCTTCTTTACTTTATCTTCTTGCTTTATATATCTTTACTAGAGGCCCAGTGCACAAACATTTGTGCACTCGGCGGAGGGGGGGGGGCCCTCAGCCCGGCCTGTACCCCCTAGCAGTCTGGGACCCCTCAGGGGATGACCACCTGCTGGCTTAGGCCAGCTCCCCAGGGGATTGGGCCTAAGCTGGCAATCAGACATCCCTCTGGCAGCCCGGGAGCCCTCAGGGGATGTCCACTTGCCAGTGGGGAGCAGGCCCAAACTGCAGTCTGACATCCTTAATGATGCTGAGGAGGGGGGAGAGGCTCCCACCACCACCACTGTACTGGCAGCCATTAGCCTGGCATGTGGCTGAGCAGAGCTCCCCTGTGGGAGCACACTGACCACCAGGGGGCTGCTCCTGCATTGAGCGTCTGCCCCCTGGTGGTCAGTGTGTGTCATAGTGACTAGTCATTCCCAGTCTTTCTGCTGTTAGGGTCAGTTTGCATATTACCCTTTTATTATATAGGATAGAGGCCTGGTTCATGGGTGGGAGCCGGCTGGTTTGCCCTGAAGGGTGCCCCGGATCTGGGTGGGGGTCCCGCTGGGGTGCCTGGCCAGCCTGGGTGACGGGCTGATGGGTGTCTGAAGGCTGGCCACACCCTCTTTAGGGTAGGGGGTCCCCACTGGGGTGCCTGGCCAGCCTGGGTGAGGGGCTGATGGCTGTTTTCAGGCTGGCCACACCCTCTTTAGGGTGGGGGGTCCCCACTGGGTTGCCTGGCCAGTCTGGGTGAGGAGCTGAAGGCTGTCTTCAGGCTGGCCAAGCCACCCAGCGACGGAAGCTCTCAGCCTCTTTTCTTTTTCTTTTCTTTTTTATTCTGGGATTTATTTACCTTCTACAATTGAAACTTTGTTCCTTCAGTAGAGCTCAGAGCCGGCCGCAGCAGGCAAGAAGCTTGGCTTCCTCCATCACTGGGGCAACCAAGCTTCCTGCTTGCTCCAGCTCCATGGCTGCCAGCTGCCATCTTGGTTGGGTTAATTTGCATATAGTCATTCTGATTGGCTGGTGGGCATGGTTTAAGGCATAGCGAAGGTACATCAATTTGGATGTTTGTCTTTTATTAGATTAGATTTTTATATCTCTCTCATAGTCTCTCCTCTCCTTATGGCCTTTCCTGATGGCTACCCTTCACAAGGTTCTCTATTCTTCCTGGTTATAGATAAAGTGATCCTATGATCATTTTCACTTTTGTACCATTTAAACTGCCATTTCTGACTGTTTCTTTCACATATATATATACATACATATATATACATATATTCATTTCAGAGAGGAAGGAAGGAGAGAGAGATAGAAACATCAATGATGAGAAAGAATCATTGATCGGCTGCCTCCTTATATGCCCCCTACTGAGGATCAAGCCCATAACCCAGGCACGTGCCCTTGATTAGAATCGAACCTAGGACACTTTAGTCCTCAGGCTGACACTCTATCTACTGAGCCAAACCATCAAGGGATATTTCAATAAGCAAACTCTCTTCCCAACAAGTTAGGAGTTTCCTGAGAACAAGGAATGTCTTGCTCTTTAAAAAAAAAAAAAAAATCTCCTGCAGAATATCTAAGATTGGTTGATACATATGATATGAATAAAACAGGTATTTAAAAGAATTAAATTCTTTTTTGCCTTCTTCTTAGCTTCTCATTCAACTATCCTGTTTAACAAAGGAAAATAAGACTGAGAAAGGCAGTGCTTTGCTGAAGTTTTCCAGCTAGTTAATGGCAAATCTGAGGTTAAAATCAATTCTTTTACTCTTAATCCAATGGTTTTTCCAATATTCCATGTTTCCACAACATTAGGTATCAACAAAAATATTCTGTATCAATTATTTTTAAATGGGCTGTTATGCTATTAGATCTTTCTTAGGCTTTGTAGATGGAAAAACTACCACCAATAACAACAAAGACTCTCAAAACTGTCTTGTGTGAATCCTATATATTAAAAGTGTAATATGCAAATAGACCAAACGGCTGAACAGCGGGACAACCATCCGGATGACCATCCGGGACCATGCTTGATACCCACTGGTGCCAGGCCAGCCAAGGTAAGTGCGATGCGATTAGTCAGGGCCTGGCCATCGCCCCATGATCACCCTGAAGAGGGAGGCCCAGGCCACTGACCAGTGGGCTGCAGCGGGTGGGCAGGGCCTCCTATATGCCCTGCCCACTGCGAGGGAAGCCCGGGTCCTGGGTCCCGGGTGCCAGAGGGAAGCTGGTGCCAGCAGCCGGGGGAAAGAAGGCCAACTCTTGCACAAATTTCGTGCATCGGACCTCTAGTTATTAAATAACTAAAGGATAACATAAGTTCCCTTAAATTCAGTAAGACTGCCTCTTTAAATTCAACAAGACATATTTTGCAAAAAAGTTTAAGTGGTCAACCTTGGACAGTTATCAAGTTCTGTGGGAATAATTTTTATTTTGGTAGGAACATCTTGATCAAAAGAAAATTACATTTCACAAATATGTTAGTGACATATAAAAATGGTTTTAAATTAGCTCACTACCCTACCCTCAATTCAAATATAAACCAAAGAAAAGTGCTGTAAAACTATGAAATATATTTCTTAAATGGGTATAATTTATATTTGCAAAGTTGATAGTTCAAAAGCTAGGGGAAATTGCCTTGAAATTTGGAGAAAATCTATTAATTACTATTGATATCATGAACTCACACAGTTAATGTATTTCTATGTGTTAAAAATTCTAAAATTATTATATTAACAACTGTTTTCTTATATAGGTACATATGTATGTTGTGTTCTGTGTAACACATAATCATTCACATAATCATTCAGGCATGTGAATGGAAAATACCATTGCATTTAGGATAGTAAGTACTTACCTCTCCAAAAGTTGATGATATTCAGTCTGCTTTGTTTTGGTTTTAGAATATTTAGTGACATACTTTTTCACATTCTTTTTCATTTCAGTGTCAACATTTCTGAAACAAATGATCCAAGATTTGATTGATATGTCAGTATGTATTGCCAATTATCTTTCAACTTGTTTAAATATGTGAAAAAATCTTGAGGTTTTAATTTATAATAATTCGCTCTAAAATAATCTGTCTTTTTTTGAAAATATAGGGTTTCAAAAACTACCACAATTAAATATTAAACTTCATGCACATTTATACTATGAGTAACTTATATAAGAAAATGAATTTTCAATATTTTAATCCTCTCTATTAATGCTGATCTCCCAGAGATGTGAATTTTCAAGTTTAAAGAAAATGCAGAGATGACATTTATTTTTCCTGGGATATTTTATTCATATGTTGTGTATGTTCATATGTTTATTAATATATGCTAGGCAATCAATCCAAACCTAAAAATTGTTAAACTGAAAAATAGATAATGATGATCACAGAAAAAGGATGTTTAATGGGAATATACATCTCTTCAAACTTCCAAGTTAGAAAATTATTTTGTGTATTTAAAAATCTCTACATTCTATTAAATGAAAGAAATAGTGGTGAAATGTAGTTGTTCATTCATTCATTAAAATATAATTAACCATTAATTTATTTATTAATTGTATTAAGCACTAATTTAGGGGCTATTGGGTTCCCTAAGCCATGTGGTAAATAAAGTGACTTAATAGTCAATTGATCAGGACACACTGTTCCATAGCCACACCATAGTAGTGAGAACATATATGGACGAATAGTGTGTTATCCTGGTTTTCTAGCTCCTGGATGGAGTCATAAGTGGATAATCACAGAATGATAGGAGCTATGGGGGTGGAAAGCAAGGAAGTACATAGCTAACTCAGGGATGGGGAGGGAAGTGTGGAATTCAGAGTCAACATCTAACAATGAAGTACAAACTCGTTCTCAGAAGACCTTCATTATTAAGGCAGATGGAAGGTGTTGGGGAATGGAGGGGGTTTAAAAGTAGAAATTGGGGGGAATGTTGATAAGAGATGCAGCTAGAGAAATGAGCAGGGATAGGTCATAAAGGACATAAAAGCTATACTAAGGAGCTTGAGTGAGTCCAGGGATTATAACTTACTAATAACTTACTCATTGAAATTACCTAACATATAAAATTTTACTTTATAAAATCAAATTGAGCCTTTCCTTTTACAATTCTTTAAAATATCACTTAAATTTTTTTCTTTGTTTAACTTTGTTTATAGTTCTAAGAGATGAAATTCTCCTGTGACACAGAGATCACAATGGTCTTGATTTATATAAATCTGACAACCATCATCAAGACTATTTGTCAAGATTCTGTTACTCACTAAGATAACCTTCAACTAAGTAATGAACAAGTGCTACTTGATCTTCCTTTGGCTTTGCAGATGAAGGAATCAACAAAAACAAGGACAAACGCTCCTCAAACTGTCAATAGTGAATTATTAAATAATAAAGGAGACCATGTGATTGAAGCAGAATTTGGTTAAAATGGATCTATATTTCATCTATACCCCGAGTTTGCTTTTAAAGACATGAAATAGCTCAACCCTCTTTCTTCTTATGAATAAGTTTCAGGATAATGCGAGCAATTTGCCCCGACATCTCATTTGCATTTATTTATTCTGACTTGGATATATTAAAAGTAGCACAGCAACGCTTCCACCTTGCACAACTCTGGGGTGCCATTCACATCAAAAATAATGAAAACAGTGGCAACTGGAGCTGGACAACACAGCCTCCCTGTAATGCCAGCCAAATCTCTTTCCATTGAATCTCTCTGTTACCAGGACTTACATACAGCTCTGGGGGGAAATGCTATTGATGATGCTGTAGAAAACTTTCTGAATCAGCCAAGATAAATTAAACATATTTAGTAGAGTTTTAGAGTCAAGTGTATGCTGGTGTATTTTAATTATTTGGGAATAATTAATTCATGCAGTGAACAAAGTGGACATTTGATTAACCCGGACACACTGGTCCATGAACAAGGACAGCAGAGTTTCACAGACTCTCTCTAGAATAGCTGTCCAAGTGAACAAATCTCTCAAATTATGTTTGGTTATGCCTTTTAAAACGTTAATGAGAAAAAAATCAAATCTGTATACAATTTTGAGCCACAGTTAAAGAAATAGAATAAGAAAGAAAGAAGTAAAAATTATTTAACTTTGCATGCTAAAAAAAAAAGTCATATCCTACTTTAAGGGCATTACCCTTACATTTTACATCTAGCAGAATGAGCTAATTATGAAATGTATGCGTCAAAGATTTCAATTTCAGGCTTGACTTTACTTTCAAGATTAATTTTTTACTTTATCATCTTTACAAGGCAGTTCAGTGGACAGCCGATCTGAATATTACTCATTGTTCAGCGATGTATGAAGTATATTTAATCAATGTGAAGAAAGTTATATTAAACTATTACCAGCAGCCTCAACTATTCTAAACATCTCAAAAGAAAGGTCAAGAGGTAATATCACTGCTAATCATATGAGAAACAATGTGTTTAACTCATTCTTTATATCAGAGTTCTGTGCTGATCTATGATTCCTTTTGTCAGAAAATATAAAGAAAATATAGCAGGCGATTTTTCTCCAATGCTGGAGAAATATTGGCTATTTGAGAAAATTTTATTCAAATTTCATAACATCAACTAAAGTGCAGATCAATGCTTTTCTATGATTAACTTTTAAAATCTTATCCCAAGTCAAGAATATAAAATTACATAAAGTTATGTTTTGAGAACTGTATTTATTTGTTAAATATGCCAAAGCTATAAATGTAAAGAATGTATACAATGACTTTAATAAGGAATTGTAAAAATATATTTAAGAAGCAATTTCAAATGAATTATTTCAAATTAATAAAACTAAAAAAATTGTTAATTCAAAATAGGTATTGATATAAAATTTTTTTCTAGAACTATTCATTTCCAACTCATTATTTTATCCCACGCCTAGTCTAAATCAAGAGTTCAAATATTTCCTGACATAGAAGCTAAATAAATCTGAACATCTATTTTCATCTCTAAATATCAACATGGGAGTCCTTTTTAAAAAATAAACACAGAATTCTCTCAGAAAAACATCGGCAAGCAAGACAAAACTCTGCAGAAATTAGAAAATGTACTTAATGAGAAAACTGAACAAGCTGTCCTTACTGCATTTTCCGCCCAGGTGATATGTCTGGACTCATTATAACAAGGGCTCTGTTTTTGTTCTTGTCTCCATTCCGCAGAACTCTGAGTCTTACGGGCACATCCTGCTCCGGTGACTTACAGATGGGTTTCTTCATGGAAGGACTGTTTGGAATAAGCAGTCCTTCTATTGGCCAATCAAACTCCTTCAGGAAGAAATGACAAAAAATTGATAATAAATAAGAGAGTTACTTTAAGTTATAAAGAAATGTAACACAATACTGATACTTTTAATCTTTTACTCAAGTCTAATTAGTGTTTTGTGTGAATAAAGAGGAAAGATAGTAATTTTTTAAGTGTATGTCAAATCTATGTTGTGTTACTACAAGGACGATTTATTCCCTTTCAGAGAAACATTGTTCTAGTAAAATAGAACTGAATTAACTTGGAATGTTTTTGTTCATGTGTGAAATATCTTTAATATGAGGAAAGTTAGAATGTGTGAAAAGTGGTTTTACAACCTGAAATAATATTATCTTAAACTAGACCTTTTTGGCAAAGAAGAATATATTTGGGGAACACTCCAAAAAACATAGCAAGATGATAAAACTTAAATTTCAGATGTTTCATTTGTAGAATTCAGTTAATTTGTATTTATTTATTCATATATACATTTATTAATTAATTCATGCATTATACAAATATTGTTTACTACAGTCCAGTGCTTAGACACTGGACATAACATGGGGAGTACTATGCTAAGTGAAATAAGCCAGTCAGAAAAAGACAAGTATCACATGATCTCACTTATATGTGGAATCTAATGAACAAAATAAACTGATGAACAAAATAGATTCAGAGACATAGAAGCATAGAATAGACTGGAATCTCAGAGCAGGGGGGGGTGGCGGGGAGGAAGAGATTAACCAAAGAACTTATATGCATATATGCATAGCCCATGGACACAGACAATAGAGGGGTGAAGGCCTGGGGTGGGGTGGAGGTTGGGTGGAAGGGGAGTGGGGGAAAATAGGGGACACCTGTAATAACATCAATAAAAAATAAACTTAAAATATTAACATTAAATAAACAACACTATGAACAAGATAGGATACTCTTCACTGAGCAATTTCTAGTGGGTGCTCAGAAACTTAGCTAGAAATAAACTGGCAATTAAGTAGTGTAAGTATGATAGCAAGAGGGTATTATGAGGTGTGGTGGGACCACATGGAGAAGAACCTAACTCAGAAATGTCCTGGAACAGCCCTAGCTGGTTTGGCTCAATGGATAGAGCATCGGCCTGCGGACTGAAGGGTCCCAGGTTCGATTCTGGCCAAGGGCACATGCCTGGGTTGCGGGTTTGATCCCCAATAGGGGGCATGCAGGAGGCAGTCGATCAGTGATTCTCTCTCATCATTGATGTTTCTATCGCTCTATCCCTCTCTTCCTCTCTGAAATCAATAAAAATATTTTTTTAAAAAGAAATGTCCTGGAACAGACCTGAAGCCTCAGCAGGAGTTAGTGCAGTAAAGGAGGGTAAGATGATGGGCAGAACATGATGTTTGGGGAAATAAAAGGAAGTAAGGATGGCTCCCAGGTTTGTAGCTTAGGTGACTTGGTATTGCCACTCACAGAAATCGAGTTTTGCAGAGGAAGAGAAAATGAGGAAAGGGATGAACAGAGGTGATGTTAGACAAGGTCCAAGTCCTTTCTTTCTCTTTTTCCTATCTGAATAAACAATTGTCCTGGCAGCAATTAAATCCCTATTAATCTGCAGTAACCATCTTGTAAGATATCACAATTCCATAAGTATGGGTCTGTTTCTGTATGTTTTACTCTCTTCAATTTGCCAGTTTATCTATCCCAGTACAGTACCATGCTTCCTTGATTATATTTGGTAAGTCTTGATATTGGGGAGGGCAAATACCCCCACCTTGTTAATCTTTGGAAATTGGTTCTTGTTTGGCCTTTTGCTATTTCACACACAGTTAAGAATCAGTTTGGTTAGTCTTTAAAAGCCTGTTTGGGATATAAATACTTCGAAGCAGGTTAAGGAATTTCCTAAAGGGTTACAAATACCCAAAGAAGGGGCAAGTCATGCTGAGCAGGCAAAACACTCAGATAATCACTACAGAGGGGGCCCTAGAGTCCAGGCTGTTTCCCACTGACATGACTAAGATAAAGACACCTGTGGGTTGGAGAGGTGGGCTGGCATGTCAGACCAATGCGGACCAAGGCATCTGGTCTTTAGTTTATGAAAGGGGAGATCATTTTTTAAAAGCCTGGACAAAAAGTAACAATTTACTAACATATTCCCTTGAAAAAAAAGTTGTTAGGATCTTGCAGTTATACTGAACAATCACATAGTTCAGAAAAATGTGTTGAGAATATATTATAAACAATATCTGAAAGTTGTGATTAAATATTCTGAAACAGCATCTAATTATAATGCTCTAATTTGTGAGATGAATAAGGAAATAACATTAATTGCATGCAATTAGGAGAAAAGCAGTATAAATAAATGTTAAAAACTCATGAGTAGAGTGTTTTATCTTTTATATTTTTAATAAAAATGTACATGTATTTATAATAGTGATATACAATGAGGCTAACTTATCACACTTCTAAGCAAGCAAAATTTGAGCTAATGAAGTTGTAATGTACTCCTGACGTTCACTGAGAACCTGTTGCCTGTATGGAATTTAAATGCAAAAGGGAAGACAACGTGTTTATTCAGATACATGTCTATTATTATGAATGGAGCAACAAGGGGTCACTTTTCCTTACTCTTGCTACTGAGAAGAAACACAAAAGGTTATGACAAACTCATTGTCTATTTTCATTTGAAGCTGTTCTATTGTACAAAGGTTATACTTAGCATGTGGGATGGTGGAGGAGTGGCGTTGCATAACTTTACAAGAAATAAGTTCAGGATTGACCTGTAACTCTTCTACAACAAAGATATTAAGCAATTCTGAGAAAATCAACATTTTAGACATGAAGCCAGGGTTGGATAGGTGGGAGAGAGAGGAAAACAGTCTTCTTATTAAAAACTGTCACACTGAAGCCTTGGTATAAAGTCATTAATATTTCCTCCTCTCTTTTCTTCGGAACCATGGAAGGGAAAGGCAAGAGAAACAAGGTTCTTTCTTAAAATGAGTCCGTGAGAAGTCAGTTCATAGAGTTAGGATCTAGAGCTAAGATTTTTTTTCAATATCCACTCATGCTATAATTCTGATCAACTTATCAGAAGTGTGCCGTCTCCGCTCCTAGTTATTTGTACGTCCTTTCACTTCCTACACTTGTCTCAGGGCAAGTGGTACCATGCCAACATTGGTGTCAGCTCCACTGTGGCATCGCTGACTTCAGATGGCATCCTTTGCTTTCCAGCCAGATGAAGGAAGCCTGCGGCCTTCTCTTTTTAATATAAGATTACAGAAACTCAAACAAAAGATTATTGTGGGTTTCAAAACTTTCCAAATGTATGACATATCACTGGTAGTTCTTTCTTTCAGCCACTGTAAACCTTGTTCTAGTATTTAGGGAACTTTTACTTGGTACTTCATAGAAAGAGAGAAATACAGTGTCAGGATAAGAAGGACAACAAGAAAACATGGATTAACCGGACTGGAGTGCTATCTCCTCGCCCTCTGTTGGAATGCTCATGCATCCATTCATTCTTTAGTGGTTCTCTCGGTGTTCACACTACTGCAAGGCACAGCTGCATTGTCAGGAGGCCTTGCTGGGCCGTGGTGCTTCCCTACACGGGCAGTTCTGCCTTTTCTTTTTCATCTCTCTCATAACCAAAGGCCTCTTTGAATTCAGCTCTTAACCAATGACCTAAATTCTTAGTCAAACTGGCCTTCCTTCATCTATTTACTATTAAACAGATTCTTTAATTTCCTCTCTTGGGCCTTTTCACATATCCTTTCTTGCCCTTCATAATTAGAGTTAATTATCATAATCTTTTAACAGATTAATCAAATGTGTGCTTTCAACTTTCTTTTTTTTTTTTTTTAACATGTGCCCCTCGTAATGATTTCATTCTGGAATCTGAAAATACATTGCTCCTTTCCTTTAAATGGTTAGAAGTAGAACTTCTCAATTTATAACTTTTCCCCCAAAAGGTGAGAAAATAACCCGAGTTCCTGGAAATTATTCCAGTGAACTTCATCACAGACTAAATCAAAACAATTCATTAATCTTGTTTTTAGGGGGTTTTGGCATATTTTAAAAATACTGGTACCTAAGACATACAACATGCTATTCCCTCAGAAAACAGTATCACTTGCCTTTTAGGATGATTAATAGTTAACCAAGAAGAGCATGAAATCAGTTCTCAGACCAGCTGTCACCACTGAGCGGTAAACAGTTTGGCATTGATGTAGTCTGAGTCTCCACAAAAATAATTCCTGTTGTCCATACTTCCCTTGGTTTTTATTCTATTTTAAGAGTTCTTATCCAGGAATGAACAGAAGAATTTGAGTCTCACTCAGGATAGTGTTTCTTAGACGTTTTCTTAGATTCCACATTTGGACTTAATTTTCAGGCTCATTCAATCAGCCTGGCTAGCTTCCCTCATACTGGCCTTATAACTGAATGAACAAATAGCCTTGTTTCTGGGACACCAAACTTTTTATTTGAGTTTCTTCTTTCTTCCTTCTTTGACTTCTATTCACCAACTCTGCCTTCTTCCTTTCCAATTCCTTCCTTTGTGGCACATAGCCTATATTGTTTAAACTGTAAGCTCCATGAAGGTAGAGGCCATGTCTACCTCCTTCCTTACTCTACCTGCATTGCCTACATATCTAATAAATAATGATTAGATAAGTAGTAAAGTTGGAATATTAAACCTACAATAAAATTAATACATATGCCTATAGTGACCTAAGTGTTCTGAATCCCATAATATGTCACATTTCTAACTGCAGTTTACTTAAATGAAAAGTCTTTTCCAAGCAAAATATTTATTGTATTTAATAATACACTAATAAAAGTATCTTTTTGCTTAACAAATAGATTATGTGGCAACAGAATTGAAGAAAATGTGGTTCAGATATGATAGATCCAGATTTTAAGTGAAATGGATCACATTTAATTTGAATGAAAACAGAGTTCCCTGCTTGATAAGTATTTTCCTCTCTTTCTCAAATATTTCAAGAGATAACAGGACTCTTAGGCTGAGTCATTTTGCAACACATGGTCAATTTTTCTCACTTTAGCTGATTTAGTGCCTTAATCCTTTCCCTTCGGTTTACAAGTGAGGGCCAACTTCTTATTCACTCTGCCCAAAAGCTATTGTTCTCTTTGAATGGCTAGAGAACTTAGGAGTCCATTTTCAACCTTCAAATCATATAACTGTCAACTCCCAGACTACTGGCAAAAGTTTTATTTTTAAAAAAGTAAATGTTAAAAGGAACCTGGTTAACTTAGCTTTCCAAATATAATTACCACTCATTATTTAAATTCATTAAGTAACTAAATTACTTTACTTGTATACTGAAATATATAAGCACAATATCTGTTACATTTACAGTCATTATCATGTTCTCTCTTCCCCTATATGAGAAGGCACACTACCTCTGAGGCACTGCTGACCTCCTCCCATCACACTGAGTCAGGGGGAAACTTGATAGTCCAATTAGACATGTCCCAGTTTCTGCCAAGTTGGAAAAGTCTTTTTTGCTCGTTTGTTTTTTAGCTCTGTACTTTTGGATACATATTCAATCAAATTGAACGTGCAAACTTCTTACCAGAACTGTTGTTTCCTTTCAATGATCTATCTCTCCTTTTCCCTTCCTCGCTGTGGTTTCTGGGTATAGATGAAAGTTCAATAAACTGTATACCATTGAGTAAAGGGGTTCATGGTCTATATGTGGATAGTTGTTCTGGATCATTGGAGGCCCCTAATGATGTGCCTCTTGTCCTCTTCGGCCATTGGGCAACTTACTGGCACCTGCTCACCACCAGTGAGGAGCAAGTTATCCTCCCTGTTCCCTGGGTTTTAGCTTCTGCCCTTCCTGAACCTCTGAAGAAAAATGTATAATTAGCACAATTCTTTTTTCTTTTTTGGTCTAATGCTGGGTCCCTTAGTTTCGCTGTGTTACCCTTCCACCTGGCCTCCACCCTGGCTCTTACTATTGCTCCAAACCCTGAATCTTAGACACATAATTCACCTAGCCCCTTGCTCAGGCTACCCAACCCACAGCTTCTGGCATTTTGAAGAATTCCCTTCTCTTTCAACAAAACTCAGCTTTCTAGACTGTTGCTTCACTGCAGTCCAAATATGTGGGTGTCTTTGGGGCCCTAAGCAATTCTTCTTGGTTTCAGATTCCCATCAGTTCTTCCTCTAAAAACTGACACTCATTGATTAAATAGAAAATTGTAATTTCAGGGTAAAGAAAGAAAACTTGGTTGAAACCAGAAAATATGACAGCAACTAAGAAAAATCAGGATAGAATACTTTTTAAAAATCTTTTAGCACATAGCATTGATCTGGCGATAAAGCAAGACATACTAGAGACCCAGAGAGGTAAACAGAGTCCTGAAGCTGGATTTTATCTTGAGGGAATTTTCCAAACTCCAGTGAACTTCCGCTTCCATGATCTCGCAGGGGAAGGGCACAGGAGAGGATTTCCAGGGCGCATGAAGGGTGGAAAGTCTAACAGGAGACCCTCATGTATATTATGGTGAAACTAAGTATCAAAGAAAAGGGAAGGTTTTAAAAACTGTCGGGAATAATGTTTAGAGTGACAGCTGACTCCTCAATAACAACAAAGGGAGGTAGAAGTCAGTGGTGATATCTTCAGTTTGCTAAGTGGAGAAACCTTTCATGGATGAGGGCAAAATAAAGACATTTTCAGATAAGTAGAAATGAAGTTTGCTACAATAACTAAAAGAAGGATATGCTAAGTAAAAGGAAAGTAACCAAGGTTGGAAGGACTAAGATGTAAGAGGAATTTATAAGGAGAAAGAAGAAAACTTTGGGGTAAATCTAAATAAATATTATCTACATACAATAATGTTAATATCTTATGGAAAATTTTAAAAATATAAAATTAAAATACATGACAATAATAGCATATAAGTTATAAATCAAATCATTGATGTTAAAATATCATAATGTTCTCAATTATTTGAGAGAAAAGTAGATATATTTGTTAAGTTTAGATTTTGAACATTTATATATGCAAGTTAAAATGTTCATAGTAATGGAAATAGATGATATAATTTCCAAACTAGTAGATGAGAAAAGTATAAGAAGAAAACTCAATCAAAAAATAAGCCGAAACCGGTTTGGCTCAGTGGATAGAGCGTCGGTTTGCGGACTGAAAGGCCCCAGGTTCGATTCTGGTCAAGGGCATGTACCTGGGTTGCGGGCACATCCCCAGTAGGAGATGTGCAGGAGGCAGCTGATTGATGTTTCTCTCTCATCGATGTTTCTAACTCTCTATCTCTCTCCCTTCCTCTCTGTAAAAATCAATAAAATATATTTTAAAAAAAAAAGAATGGAGAAAAAATAACACAGAAAAAAAAACAGAACAAATAATAATCTAAATATATCCGTCATTGCAATAAATAAAAAGGGTCGGCCCAGCTGGCGTGGCTCAGTGGTTGAGTGTCGACCTACAAACTAGGAGGTCATGGTTTGATTCCCACACAGGGCACATATCTGGGTTGCGGGCTCAGGGATGTGCAGGAGGCAGCCAATCAATGATTCTCTCTCATCATTGATGTTTCTAGCTCTCTTTCCCTCTCCCTACCTTTCTGAAATCAATAAAAATATTTAATAATAATAATAATAATAATAATAAACCAAGTCCTTATGTAGAGATAAAGACTGTCAGGTCATTTTAAAAATGAAGTATATGCTGATTATTAGAGACCCCCTAAATATAAAAATATACAAATAAGATATACTAGGCAAATAAAAAAACTGAAATATTTCTATTAGGATTAGAAAACTGAGACTTTCACTAGAGCTCAAGAGAGTTTACCTGATGATAAAAAAGCAATTCTCCATAGAGATACAATATTTCTGAACATGTGTGTTTCTAACAACTAAATATCAGAACATATAAAGTAAAATTTAACAGAATACAAGAAAAATAGATAAATTCATCTCCATAATGGGCAATTTAAATGCAAATTACCAATTAATAGAACAACAGAATGAATTGATCTTTTGCACCGAACAACTATGAATTAGAAAACTTGCATGGAAATTGTTATAACATTGACTGGGCCCTAAAACTTAAGTCTCAACAACCACATCTTCTACTACAATACAACCTCGTTAAGTTGGCCGCTGGGAAGGACTGGCCACATGTAGGTAAGCTTATTCCAGAGAGGATTTTCGACTCTGGAATGTTTCCACTGGCCTGGCTTACTGGTCCCTGCATGTTTTATGGCCCACCTAAAACAAAATAAAAGACAGGAGTTATATAGCAAGGTTACCAACTATAACTTCAAAATATTTATTGAGTACTATTATGAAATAGGTGAACAATTAAAGACCCAAATCTGAGAGTGTACAAGAGACACAAATAAAAGTAATATTAAAATAAAAAAGTAAATGTTTAAAAATCAGGAAAAATTGGCAGTCATAACTGACAGTGGAATTTGAGACAAAGGCAAATTAGAATAACAAAATCATTTTATAATAATGATGTCATAAATAACAATACTAACATAGAAAAAATCAAGCAAAACTTTTTAGACATTCAAAGAGAAACCAACATAGACAACATATTACAATCTACTAGGCAAATATTTTTAAAGTGATAAAGATATAAAATATCTGATTTCTATAACTAATAAATGTATAACTATTTTAACATAAGTTGTAACCTATAAAAGAAAATACGTCTTTCTTAACAATTCTTAGAACATTTGTAATATTTTCCACTAACAAAGTAAATTTTAATACAGTTTTAAAATGAAAATTGAATAAGCCACTCTTTGTGGCAAATGATAGAATAAAATTAGATGTAAAGAAAAGTACAAATTTTATTCACCTGATAATTTTTTAAAAAATTCTCCCTCCAAAAATACTATTATATCAGATAGGGGAAAAAATCACAATCATCAATACCTATTTAGAAGCAACAAAAATAACAGTCATGAAAACTTAAAAGATACATCTAGAATTATAGTCAAAGGTTAATTCATAATGTTAAATGTTTATTTATTAAGAACTAGAGAAGGGAAATTATTAAAGCATTCAATTGGATGTATTTTAAATCTATATAATTATCCTATGGAAAGGAGATGAAAGGAAATAATATTTAAATAGAAATAAATAATTTAGAAAACAGGACAGCATAAAACTGATACAGAAATGTTGAAATAAATAAAATAGCAAATCTTTTGCATATAAGTCTAGATGAAAAAAATATAATACAAACCAGATAGAAAAATTGAGCTAATCTGATAAATGAATTTTTTTTTAAAAAAAACAACACCTCATAGATTTTAAATATAAAACAGAAAACATGTCCTTGCTCACATAACTTTATAGGTCATGAAACAGATTACTTTCATGCTATGTAAAATATTCTAGACCATAAAAATGCAAAAACCTAGCTAATTCTTTTCATGAATGGGGAGACAGGCTTCACTATAAAGCCAGTTACTGGTCATTTAAGAAGTAGCACAGCAATCTTATTTAAAATTAAAGATGTAAAATTTCTAAATCAATATTAGCCAATAAAATTTAACATTATGTGAAGACAATAATCACTATAGTTCAGACATAAAATGATGGACATTTATTAATGTAATAAATCACTGAGCAATGAATGAGAATACAGGAGCAGTCCATCACCCATAATTCCCTACATGATGGACTTGAAAGTTTTCTGAGCTGGCTCAGCCTCATCAGAACCACCTGCAGTGTTCAATCTCATGTTCAAGGGCCCAGGTTTCCCATAGCTTGCTGAAAATTCTGGAGGCCTGTATACCAAGAGCTGGTGGTGGCAGGAAAGACCTGCTCTTTAACAACATAGACCCTGACTCCTACGACTGTAATGCTATCTGTGTTCTAAGGCCAACACTTCTGCTTGTGCCTTGATCCATGTCCTCTCTCACTTAGAAGAATTAAATTTCCCACTCTTCATCTGTATAATGTCTGATAGCTTTATATCTTAAAAACAAACAACCAAACAAAAACCCCGTTCTCTATACCCCACCTCTACCTCCAGTTATTGCCTTATTTCTTTGTGTCCCTTTACAATAAATTCTTTAAAAGACTCATCTCTTTCCTTTTCCTCCCTTTTTCCCGTAAACCAATTTGAGTTAGATTTTTCATCTCTGAAACTCCAGTGAAACTGAGCTATCAGGTTTTCACATTACCAACATCAAAGGTCATTTCTCCAGACTGAACTAACAGCAGTGTGATCATCCCCTCTTTCTTAAAATACTTTCGTGACTTCTTTGAAAGCAGTGTCCTGGTTTTCTCCCACATGAGTAGACAAAATTATTAGTCTTCTCTTGTCTGACATAAATGCTATGAAAATCCAGAGCCTGCCACATCAATTGAGTTTTTGGATGTCTATTGGTCTGATGCATATAGAGATCACTATAAGGCAAAGGACAGGCTGTTGATGAAAAGACTCATCCTCTGATGGCAGTGCCTGTGTAACTTCCACCCATCAGGGTGTCTTTAAAAGGAACGGGTCAAGTTCAACTTGCACTGTTAATAAACACTCACATAGAGCAAAGGCCATTAGGCTGCAGAGTTCCAGCACAGCGTGAGCTTTTATGTAAAAGCAATAGACCTCTTAATATTCTGTTTTATAAATGAAGAGCTGACAGACCCTTAACTGTAATGGCACCAGCAGACCCAGCTATAATGACTGTACATGTGCATAACATAAATTAGGACTTTACAGATCAGTAAGGACTCTGGGAATCTTAATTCCTGAAAACCAGCACTAGGTGGAGACAGTGATTCATGCAATGCTTACCCCTTGAGAACTTATTTCTATTTAATAATTTCCATTCTCTTCAGTGCAGAAAATGGTGCTGTTAAACAACTGATATTTTTAATAGAAACATCTTATAAAACAAAATATTTCATGTTTTAGAAGGACCTACTTGGTAGCCAAATAAGGTTCAAAAGCAAGTTTATTTAAAATAATGTCTTTATAAACCCTGCTTTACCATTAAAGGTAACATCCTATTTATAATACTTCATGAGTATCTACCCCCCTGGAAAGGAGTATAAAGTTAAAAAACATCCTTCTAAATATATCTAAACCTAAAAGATAAAAAAATTAAGATAATTCTTCAATATTTTGGCTGACAGATAGATACATTCTCCCTCAAAAACGAAGTCCAGAATTGCTCCTGTCAATTTCAGTCTGATTAATGGAGTCACGGATCCACTAGAGTGCTCTGATCAATTAATCTTATAAAGAAATGGATGGGAAACAAAACACTTTAGATCATGTTTTTTGGAGTCCAGTGCCTTTGATGGAACTTTTGGCAGACTGTGAAATTGTGCGAGACTGAATGCACTGTGACAGAAAAGTGTTATTTTGCAGTCTTAGAAATCAATAGTAAAATAAAAACAAATCTAAATGTGTCCCAGTGGAAGAGAGAGTCTTTTTACATAGTATATCAGGAGGTCATAATTACATTGTTTTCAACAATGTAATAAACATAGTATTAAAATATAATATAACATATAATTAGGTCTGATATAATAAATTATAAATATTCTGCCAAATTCAAACTGAAATCAGCAGTGTCTAACATGCATGTAGAAATTAGATTCACATCACATAGCTGTCAAACTTTTTGCTTTATACTATGACCTATTTCTTTAACTGGTTACTTTTCTCTTCTTTCTTTTTTCCTTTCTTTCTTTTTTCCTTTCTTTCTTTCTTCCTTTCTTTTCTTTCTTTCTTTCTTTCTTTCTTTCTTTCTTTCTTTCTTTCTTTCTCTCTCTCTTTCTTTTAAGGCTTTCTAAGTCACAAGTTTAGACCACTTAGAATTCATCTATAATTAATTTAAAATTATATGGTTCCTCAGAAACAGTGAAAACACATTATTCATACAGAGCAATAATATATATATTTATTTTGATAGAAATCAATTTCTAAGACTAAATTTAAGTACTTCATCTCTAAAAAAAAGAAAGGAATGGGCCAATTATAAAAATAACAATAATATAAAAACTATCTACTTCAGTGGGATTTAATAATAGCCCAAGGAGTTCCCATGGATTTGAACTGTTTTGAAGCTTTTTAAAGGTCTGGTCCAAATCAGGAACTACACACACAAGCTAATTTTAGACATTATAGAAGGGTTAAAATATTAGCTACATAACTGGAACCCAGGATCCGTCAGGTATCACTCTCTACTCTTTTACCAATAGTACACCACTGTATGAAATGTGTTAGGTTACATTTATTTTGCAAGTTATACTGAATATAAAAAAATAAATGTAATATTTTATGTAAATAATTATTTTTAAGAGTTAAACTTTTGCCTCATCAGGTAGCTCAGTTGATTAGAGCATCGTCCTGATACACTGAGGTTGCAGGTTAGCTCCCTGGTCATGGCACATCCAACAACCAACCAATGAATGCATAAATAAGTGGAACAACAAATAGACGTTTCTTTCTCTCTCTGCCCCCCCCCCCAAATTAGTAAATAAAAAATAAATAAAAAGGCTGTTCCTTTTAAAAAAATGATTTATACCTTAAATAACTTTACCCTGATAGAAACAAGGCACTGAAGACTGCAGTGTTATTCCTTTACAAGCCCAAATTCACAAAGGTCAAGTACCTTTTGCATATCAAATAGTTTTATTCCTTGGATGTTTTTATTCCTGGGATATTTTGTACTCACTAAATACACTTGCAATTTGTTCTTCTGTCTTATATTTTCCCACTTGCCCATCTCTTTACATTATTTTGATAACTAGCAAATTATTTAAGACAGAGTCTGGATTTTTTAAAATTTATTTTTAGAGAGAGAGACAGGGAGAGATCAATTTGTTGTCCACTTATTCATGCATTCATTGGTTGCTTCTGTATATGCTCTGACTGGGGATTGAACCCACAACCTTGGTGAGTTGGGATGATGCTCCATCCAGCTGGAGTACTTGGTGAGGACTAAGCCTGGCTTTTAGTGGCAACTAAAGGCTGAAAGGGAAGACTCTATGATCATGTTTTCATCTTGAGTAACTGGGAATTTCTGAAAATGAGAAATCATTCAACAATTACACTGAAAACAATTCTTATTTCATAATAATTTCCATTATTTTATATTATATCCCTTTCAATTGAAGATCATTAATTAAGCCTTTTAATATAATT